CCTTCAGGATGAGTTCATGCTGCATTTTTGTGTGTGCGCTCATTCATAACATGACTTGAGCTAATTTACCTGAAAGGACACTCATCACAACCAATGACAAGTGTTCAATGACAGCGCTGACCTTCAAAGGACAGGACTATTAGGGACATGACTGCTTTCACTGCTGAGTAAGCAGCTTTTCAAGACATGGAAAGGTTACTTAAATGTATTGGCATAGATCATGTTGGCTTGATGAGAGCTTTTGCCTGTTCTAAACCATATTTTAATAACTAGATGGGACTGGAGACTAGATACAAAGCTCTAGGGGGCCATTTTTCTTGGTTTTGGACCATATAAAGCTAACAGCATTCTCTCCTCTCTTCATCAGAACTGGGATGGAATATGACGTGAGTGAGTGAACAGATCTGTCATAAATTGACAGAATTCATTAGGCTGCGTTATTTCCACTACTGTCAGAAATCCCAAATTATGCATAGGGTGGACAAGTGATGGATTTCACATTTTCCAAAGCATTTATTTATTGCTTTACATCATCTAGATTGGAAGTAGAGAGGACATTACCGCTGCCCTGGTAAAAATTATTGGCACCCCTTAATTTCAAGTGCATAATTCAGAATATCTTCGGAAATTAATCCAAATGATACAATTTTGTATAACGAGAATATTTTAACAAAATGTCTGAACAAAAGAAAAATAGTAATGAAATAATACAAACACAAAATGTACCTCAGACACAATTAATGTCACCCTTCACTAAATTTGGTTTCAGAATCTTTAGAAACAATGACAGCCTAAATGCCATAAAGAAGCTTCTTGACCTGAGACCTTTTCCTCCAGCCTAGCTTTCTGACACTGGGTAGCACATTTCACTCTAAAGTGCCTTGGTAATCTTTTGATTTCATAATTTCTTTGATATATATTCAATGCCTCTAGTACCAGACGCAGCAAAGCAGCTCCACAGCATGACAGAACCTCCACCATGTTTTACTGTAAGTATGGTGTTCTTTTCCTTACGGGTTTCGTGCCATCCTCTTTAAACAAACTTATGCACTGTGTTTTCAAAGAGCTCTACTTTGGTTTCATCTGTGCATAGAACATTAGGACTTGAGACTAACAGCATCCCGTCGTCCCAGTGACAATAGAAAATGTGTGCAGGACGAAAGAGATTTCATCAATTTTTTTATTTATTTATTTCAAACAATCACTTAGCAATGACAAACTGAGCTGAGTGCTGACTAGTGACTACAACGGAGTGCATCTTCTCATGCTGTTACTATGGTTATTATCGCGAAACCTGAAATGTTACAGTGCAAACCTCTGCATAACTCATAAATCCTTTGTCTGAGGTAACTTAAGGACAAATTTAAATGGATGAATTTTGTTATTAGGCATTGCATTGAAACAGTCACCTGCCACTTGCTAACTAGGGATGGGAATTTATAAGATTTTATTGATTCAAATGCCATTATCTATTCTGGTTATCGATCTGATTCTTTACAGATTCCATTATTGATTCTTGTGGATTTTCTGTGTTGAAAAAAGTAGGCCTATACAGGTTTTCAGTGTCAACAACGCAAATTTTATTGAGTCTCTGAACACTGAACAAGATAGATAACTGCTCTGTAGTTGTTCAATCCCCCGAGGAGGGGGTGCTGTCTAACTCTTTAGGTCTGCCTTGTATTAATTTACAAAAAAAGAGAGAAAAAAAAAAAAAGGCTCTCGGATGGGAGCCGGCTCCTATCGTTCACTTAAAAGAGCTGGCTTGTTTGCGACCGAAACAATCATACCTTAACTGCTCTGTTGAGACTGTAAAGCACTCCTGATATTTAATGCTCTGCTGCGCGTCTACACATGTTTCATGTTTGTTTTCAAATTAAGCCACACTTCCTCGAATCCTTCGTTGTCGTTCGTGCTGACTGCCTCTCGCGGAGGTGTTTTGCAAGGCACATGGAACTAAGCGGAAGGCATCGATAGTGGAATCGTAAGGCATAAAGGCGAATGATGTCGATGGATCGAACCAGTTGGAACCGGTTCTCAACAGGAGGCGGTTCTCGATTCTCATCCATATTTTTTTTTTTTAAAGTATATTTTTTTGGGCTTTTATGCCTTTAATGGACAGCACAGTGGAGAGTGACAGGAAACGGGGAGGCAGAGAGAGGGGGAATGACATGCAGTGAAAGGCCGTCCGATGCTGCCGACTGCAGCGAGGACTGTAGCCTCTACACATGGGGCGCCTGCTTAAACCACTACGCTACACGACGCACCGATTCTCATCCATATTGCTAACGTTACTTGCAGGTGAACTTTGTGGGCACCAATCTCGGTGTATGTGAGTATATTAGCTAAAGCATACATTTAGATGATTTCAATCTGTTTTTGTGATCTTTTTTGTTGTAAGTCTTAACATTTTGTAGACATACAGTATATTGTGTGTGGACAGTAGTGATTGCAGTTATATCCACGGATCGGAAAAATTAGTACTTTAATTAATAGCAGATCGGTTGCAAGTGGTGAAATGATACATCATTAATGACGAAATTATTATTTACATTCTCTAAAATGTTAACAAAGCAGAGATGCAGTCCACTGCTCTCTGCAGCAAACTGTTTCATTTTTATGTCAGGCGAATTACTGACTTACAACTAAGCAAACTAATAACGGGGAATATGAAGAAATACAGAAACTAATATGGGTTATCAGGAGGCGAAACAGGACCAGAGCAGAGAGCATACATCCATCTAATCTAATTATAAAGTAAGAATCTCTGTCTGTCTGTTCTTCACAAATCCAGAGAACTTTGCATCCGATTGACATCACACTTGGTGGGTGTATTGCTGGGGACCAAAAGAAAGAGCAGTTGGTTCATAATTTGGTGCAATTTGGACACATGACGTGTTTAGTATCAATAAACAAATAACTAACAACTACAGATGATCATAAAGTAAAGAAACAATATTTAGATTTTGGGATAGTTTACATGAATTTAGTGACGATTAGAATTGTTTTTGAGACAGGTGATGAAAAAAGTTAGTCTGGCCCCCGGAACCTTATCCCAGAAAGACTGTAGCTTAGTTATTGAAAACATTAACATTTCCTTTTTGTGCCTTTCCTTCAATAATTGTGTCCTTCACCCATGGAGCCCTATTTGGTTTACTGTGAAATGTATGGTACGGGCAGAAAACATCACTCCAGATTGTTGTACATCAGCTTGAAGCTCTTTAGATGTCTTGTGTGGTGTATATATGTATATATCTACATTACAGTGAAGTCAGAGACTTCAGTAATAATAAATGCAATACTGCATATCTCTCCACTAGCCAATATGCTTTAGTCACCAGTCAGCAAAGAGTCAAAAACATTTGGTAAATGGTGTCCTGGAGGAGACCTGTGCACTCACTTGAATAGTAACCAAAACATAAAGATATAAAATATTACACCTTGAGAAAATGTATAAGCTGTTAAGTCATGTTTGAACCAATGAAAGGACAGCTGTTGTATCTGCAACAGTCAGTGGGTACGCTATCAAAAAGATCTACAACGAACACCAATATCATGCAACTTCAATCACAGTGAAACCTGTAAGTTTAATTCCCAAAAGTATATGTCATAAAGAATTTTATCAATGTGAATAGGAGGCTGAAGTCAAATACACATGTGTAAAAAGGTGGGTAAATTAGAGTTGAGTAGGTTTAAACCTCCTCTATACTGCATACACTAGAACAAAATGGAAATTTCAGTACTTGGATCACATTCAAGTGGGCAGAGTTAAATGACATATCTGCTGCGCTTCAGTCACTCTCTGTAGGGATTCATCCACTCTCCCCTCAGCTGCCTTATGGAATGCTGACCCAGCACCTTGCTCCATCTGACCAAGAGCTACGCCCACTCAAAGAAATAACGCAACCTGTGTGCAATCTTCAATTGTGCCAGCATTGCTATATACTGACCGGAATATTCATACACATGGTGAGCAATAGACCATGAACATTACTCAGTTGAACTTTGTAATAACAAAATAAATGCCCTCAGTGCACTAATGGTGGGGAACTTTGGTTGGGTATAACCATGGTGAGGGATAAGAGTAATGCCAGGGAGTGGAACACTTCAATGTTTGACTGAGGTGCAGCAGGGCAATCTAATGCAAGGTTGTCAAACCATCAGCCACAGAGTACATAGCTTTTACTTCCAACCAAATATGACAGATGTTGAACTCACCAATTACTCCCCCTATTCTGGTGAAAACTGTAAAATTGCCTGCTATAGAAAAATGGTAAACGCTCAACCTGCTATGGCACAGGGTTTTACTTCCTTCAACTTTAGTTTAACATCTTTGTGCTAGTCAACCCACAGTAAGATACTCACTGGTAAACACCTGCTCTAAAAGTGTAAATCCTAACAGTTTCAAGGACATTGTTCAGTGACTCCAACCAGCCTGGAAAAGGAAATGCTACATGTCAAGCCCATTTTGTGAAAACTGAATACTACTAGTAATAACAAAATAATAATTCTCAGTCAGTTGCTTTCTTCAGCTTTCTTTGTAGAAAGGAGTGAGACGTTTGAGATGCTTGCTCTAAGGGATCAATGGGATCACTAATCCATCACTATTAGGCTGATGTTTTGTTGCTGTTTATGGCACAGATTTTAATTTGAAGGAGAGTGTGAATGTGCAAAGTAACTAAATACAAATGCTCTATTTTTCTATTATTGAGAAGCTTTTTAATGTACTTTTTATATCTTACATAAATCAAGTAAAAGGAAATTCTAATTTTGCTTAATCAAAACTACTTGGGTAACAGTTATGGCATATTGGAGGGGATATTCTATTTAAGTTGGCTTTGTACCACTTTTTATGGTAGCTTTAGGTTATTTTTATTGAAATAAATATGGTCAAGATGCCACATTGACTTTTACAATGATTATCAGTCATATTTGTCTTTTGTTCTCAACATGTCCTTTTTTTCACAAGTACTGATGATCTATTATACAATATCTCCTCTTACCTCGCTGTTGTGTCCTCTGAGGTTGAAGTTTACTCTCTGCGGAGTGGGCCGGTCCCGTCTACAGTGGCTGGATGTGAACGTGACCCCGACAACTCCTCGGCCGTTCCCGGTAGCGAGCCAGCCCTCCTCGTAGTAGCGCTTCCTGCACACTGGCTTCTCCTTCTCGCTCTTAGGCACCCGGCCCTTCCATGACAGGCACAGGATGTTGGAGTCGCTACAGAGGACGGGGCCATGCTCCACGGCGGCGAACATCCCTGCAGCTCTCTACACCCCCGTGGATAAAAACAGTACCAAGCGAGAGGTTGGGGGGTTCTTCGGAGGGGTCGGTACCGTTATGAGTGCTTCTCCTCCACTGAGGTTACTGGTTCGATGTCGGATGTGAGAAAGCGATAACGGTGCATAGTACTTGCGCTTCCCCCCGGCTGTCTCCTTGATTTGCAGTACAGATTAAAGGTGGTCAGTGAAAACTTCTCCAAATGCACAAATGAGGTCACCAGGGATTGCTGGATTTGAGACCCAAATGGGCTGCATACACAACAAAAGGCACTCAATCAAGTCATTTTGATGTTTGATCAGTGAGCTGCCTCGCTGATGATGTTTCAATGACAAGGCAACAGATTAGATTATCGGGAAAAATATTTAGAAATCCTCTGTCGGAGATTCCAGACTCATGCCAGCTGATCAAAAACAAACATCCACAAAAAAACTTGTAAACTCACAAATGGGGAATGCATCCAATCCATTCAACACGTTCCTGCGCTTCCAGTCGATGTGAACAAAGTTTCTGTCCAGTTCAGCATGTCATTTCTAGTCTCTGTGTCCTGCTCATACGATCCCGACCGTGTGTGAGAGAGGAGGAGCAGGGTCCCCTCTCCATCAGCTGTCAGCCCGCAGGAGAACCGCTTCTCCCGGTAACGTCATCACGTCTTTTCACCCCGCCTCGGGGATCCCATGAAGGACTGCTGGATAGCACAAAAAATAAAGGGTGTTGCTATCACACAGAAATGGTCACTATCAAATAAACAAGCGAGTGTTATGAAATCGTTTGATTTGTTTTCTAAAACGGACGACGTAACGGTACAGGCGTTAAATGCCCTCACCTACCGCCTTCAGATGTTAATTTAAATATTAATGCTTGCCTAAAATTACCCCTCATTTACCGTTACTTAATGTCTCCCTGAGCAACCACTTTAGTTCGAGGATTATCCTGTTCAGCGGAAGGATATTTAACTAATTGCTGAATTATTTAAAATGACCATGTATCATTTTAGCTCTGGTTTTATTAAGCTACACTGATGTAACAATGCGGCCTCCCGAGGCTTAACAGTTAAATAAACAGTAAAAGGGGAAAACAGACAAGAGACAAAACAATTGGATGAGAGACAGGAGAGAAATAAAATTCAGGCAGTGACAATCCGTGAAATCCAACGAGGTCCGTCAGACCAAACAGACAGACCAATGGGCAATAACGGATGGCTAATGACTGTCTTCTGACGATAAAAGGGCAAACAATGGACAACTGTTACATAATAATATAACTGAGATTTAGATTAAGTCAGTTGTCAATATGATAAAAGATAGTATCCACATAAATTCCAATATGACTAAACAGACAAGAGTACACGCGCATCCCATACACCTCCAGCAAAAGAAAAGCAGTAGAATATGCCAATCTGTTAACATCTAATAATGTACGTTAACATAAAGAAAAACCGGGTGATACTAACGTCACTAACTGACGAACAAATACAGCTGAAGCCCGTAAGATGATGATGCCCAAACACTCATCACCATGAGCTGCCTGCTAGCCACAGCTAGCTAGATCCTGGATGTTGAGTCCAGACAGACAACTCTGTGGGCTCCGCAGATCAAAACATGTCAGCCGCCGGATTAATCTTTCCTTTAATTCATTTATCTTCTTTGTGCAGTAATATAACTGAGATACTTGGAGAATGCAGCTACCGGTGGCTGTCTGTGTTGTCTCCTCCACAAAGAACAGTCAGTGATAGCTATTCAGCTAACCGACCTGCTAGCTAGCTGAACCTGAACCACCATCAGCGGAGTGACTGGCTCCGTTCACCCGCCGTTGGCAGTCGTCGCTAACAAGCTACAGTTAGCACATTAGCTGACTGATTATCCTAAGGTTTTTTTATATTAGCATACAGCTATTAAAAATAACCATACGTCGGCGGCGTAGTGGACAACATGGCAAAATAATATCAGACCTGTCGTCAACAAAGGCAGGGAAACATCAACGACCAGTAGAGCGCTTACCTCGGCTGTGTGCTGCTGTTACTACTGCCGCTGCTTCCTCTGCCTGCAGCCTGCTACTGTACACTGGCAGGGCCCGACAGCTGTGTCACGTGACAGGCACGTGATTTAGCCCAATTAAATTATCACAGCTTCACATCAATAAGTGTAGTGTTTTAAGTTTAACCTAATCTTCTTACAAGTGAGGATGAAATGATGTGGTCTTCGTTGTCAATCTGCCCACAAACATAGCACAGCATGTAGTCACTGGAGAAGAATTCAGAGCAGAAGCAGAGATAATGCATTGTATTTTATAAATCGATTAAATGTTTTTTGTATGTATATTTCTAATATGACAATATAACAGTAAATACAATAACTATAGCGGCAGATTCTTTACTAAAGGATTAGTAGCAAAACCACGGTGTAAAAATACTCAATTACAAATAAAAATCCTGCATTAAACATCTGACCAGAGCAATGGTGGACTGTAACTTATATTTACTCAATATACCACTCAATAGCTTAAATCAATTTTTGAACTACTTGTACTTTATTACCCCTTATTTCTCTTTTATACTATTTTACACTTCTACTGTTATACTTTTCCCTCCACTACACTGATTTGACAGCTTTAGTTTCTATTTATTTTGACAGTGCAGTTGAAAAAATATATATTCAACAAATAAATTATGATATATTAATCTTCCAATAAGTATAAGAAGTTATATAGAAGTAGTATAAGAAGGTATAATTTTACTTTTGGTACTTTGATTGTAATGCCAATACCTTGGTACTTTTACTGAAGTAAAAGATCTGAGCTAATTTAACTACAGTCATTTATTCTACAGCGTTGCATCATATTTCATGAGTTGATAGTACGTTTTGTATGTAAAAACCAATCTGCAAATTAACCAGTAACTAAATCCATCAAATAAATGTAGTGGAGTTAAAATTACAGTATCTAGTTATTTATTTTGAATTATTTAACAGGGACAGGACAGATGAATATTGTAACAAATGAAGAAACAGTATGAATATGTAGCATAGCCACCATTCCTGTTTGGGCTGGTTTTTACATCAGAATTATTGCCTAGAAGAGTAGAAGTACAGCAATGGACTACCAACTGCACAAAGCAGCCAACTGTGCCAGGGCCCCAGACTGTCAGGGAGCCAAGAAGCCCCAGCTTTACATATCAGATAGCTGTACATAATTTAATTGATTGCAAATTTGGTTAGCAGTTTTCTCCACAAAAGTATCATATCAACTACAACAAGTCTTGCATAATTACTCAATCTTGTGGCCTTTGTTTTTTAGAGGAGTCGTGTGTCAAAACTGTTTTAAGGTACATATTTACAAATCAAATTTGGAATATGCTCCAAAGTAATGGGCACAGAAGTTATTCCAACACAGGAACACGGGAATACTGTTTTCTTTTCTGGGTGTTTATGGAAATAATGAAGCAGGCATGTATGGCAAGAACAAGAAAGTTTTGCCTTGTCTAAAAATGACATAAAATGGAAAAGACTCAAACAAAATACTAGTACTTCAAAACTATACTTTTCCCACATACAGTATATTATGTATTGTAAAGATTAAAAAAAATCTATTTATAATGATGGGATGATCGACCAGCTGTGGTGTTAAGGTTACCACCGACCTGCCACAGTTGTAGTTTACCCTCCAGTACTCGCGAGGGCAGTATTGAGAAGTTGTTTGTCCTTATACCCCTCCTACTCCAAAAACATGGCTGCTCCCGTGGCTCTCAGGCGACAACTATTTTCTTTGGCAAGGATATTCACGGGGATCTCACATTTGGTACAATAACTAACTTTTTTTTTTCTAACAGCAACTAACGTATTTGACATTTGTTTCACTTAGGAAAACTGAACGTAGATGATCAATAAATCTTACAATTTGGTCACTGTCAGCAGTAGTAGCATGGTGGTTACACAGCAAATGTCATCTCTAAAGGTCCACTGATCTAAGTTTATTTATTTCCAGGGACCGGGAACTTCGGGTGCCTGTTCAGGTCACAGGAAATATAATATAATCAGGTAGGTAACCGTTTTCCCTCTCCGCTTGTATGACGTCTATCTAGTTTATTATTACCTGTAGTAAACGCAAGCACACGACGCATGTTTGCTGCTACATCAGTGAGACACAGTCATCATTACAGCCCTTTGTTGCCAGACATTTTGATCAGCAGAGTGCATGTGGCTGTAACTGGTCTACATAATTTACAAGAGCCTAAATTCTATTCTGAAACTCAAGGGAGGCACACATGTACACCATGATTGCATTTGCAGCAGTTAGGCCTATAATATATTCAGTGCTTTCAAGTCAATTGTGTGTGTGAAGCCAAAGGGCAAAAACAACCAGGAACAGCTGTCTCACAGTTACAGAAGCGTTTGTGCTGGACTTTGCATTCTGACAAAGATCGTTAATATGCCAGAAATGACTCACCGCTGTCTCTGCAGGTCCCATCTCCCACTGACATCCAGCACTTCCTTCCACACATCAACAGTGTTTTCATCAACACCTTCAGCTGTAAGTTATCAGAATAACTTTATTTACTTAAGACTGTTTTTAACAGCTCAGTATTAAAATAATGTTATAGTGTGACTTTCACTTGACTACATGTCTATCCTGTTTCCTTACATGTATGTCTCCTTGCAGATCACTGTCACAGAAGAGCCTGATGCACTGTTTCAGAGGGTGTCAGTTTTGGTCAAAGGTCATGACAGGGCCGTCCTGGACAGCTATGAGTTTTTTGCCACCATGGCAGCTAAAGAGCTGGGCATCAACATCAGCAAAGTGTGAGTCTTAGTGAAGCAGCCGTATGATAACAATGATGACTGGTAACTGCTGTATAACCTTCTTAATGCCATCATTTTCATCATGCTTTTCCCCTGCAATAGTTACGAGCCTCCCAAGGAGATAGACAGGCTTACACTCCTGAAGTCAGTACACATCTTCAAAAAACACAGGGTCCAGTATGAGATGAGGACGCACTACCGGTGTATTGAGGTGAGGAACTTCAGCCCTGTTTAATTTGCACCTTTTATGGCAGAGCTACTTACACCTGTACTATTCTTATCAAGTTTTCCCTTATGTAATTTTTAGCCTAACTCCACTCAATGTCAGTCTGAGCACAAATCTAATTACATACAAGTAAGAACACCTATGTGATTCCCTTTAAAATCAACCCATTAGGCAGGCCATTTGTGTCAAAAGGTTAAGTTATTATTCAGTCTTCTTAATGGTTCATGATGATTAGGTAATTGGTTTAATTTGTCCCTTCTCTTGTTTTGTAGTTGTCTCATTTAACGGGCTGCACAGCACAGGCATACCTCGAATACATCCAGAGGAACCTCCCTGAAGGTGTAGCCATGGAAGTGACAAAGGTGAGGCACTGCAGAGCCCTGCCCTATCTGTTCTAGACCTATGGACTAAACAGAAGAAATTAATTAATTTATTCCCCTCCTCTTGTTCTGTTCATGTTGTCAGACTGCCATGGAGAAGGTTCCAGATCACATCCTTGAACCCATGTGGAAGGACGACACCATTGACGACAAGCCCAGCCAGTGAATGCAGTGATGAGCAACAGATGCATATTGGGTGTCTTTTTTCAGACATCAGTGAATATGCTGGGTAATTGGGAAAACGTTAAAAATGAAATACTACTATACACCTGTCATGACCTCCTGAACTGCTCATCATATATAATTCAAAAGAAACATCAAAATTGATAGAATGGAAAAAGGTCCTCTTCAGTTACAGAATATGCATTCATTGTCACCATGTACCAGTGTCTTTATGCACTGAAACTTGTTTTCATCGTCCTTTTCTTGTCTTTTCTGTGTCAAAACAATGTGGAATCAATTGTATGTTTCTCTTCCCAATAAATGTCACATTCTGCATTTAATGATTCTCATAATTCTTCCACATTAATACAATGTTTTTCTGTAACTATCTGCTGTGATATTGGACTGGATTGTTACCCTGTATAAACATGTATGTAATGAAGGAGGCAAAACCAGCACACAAGATTTTTTTTTGCATTTATTGAGGAATTGGTATACAATGATTTATAATGCAAAACATAAAATCATCTGGATTCAACACTTACTTTCTGTTTAACAGTGACTTACATGGCGTACTTATCTTGAGCGTCTTCCTGTCATTGTAAGGAGATTTCCTGAGAGTTTCCTAAATGTCCCTGTATTTATCATCATAGATGCTTGGCTAACTCCATGGCTCTAAAAAAAAAAAAGACTTGAGGCTTGCCCCTCTCCCTTTGTCTTCCTGTATGAAAAGGAGCTTTTGTACAGAGATAACATTAATCATATTGTAATTTATGTCCACAAAGGAAGTAGTGGTAGGAAGCTTTAATCTTTTTTGCTGCAGAGACTCAACATTTCCAGCTATACAACACAAATCACATGATTACTGTCATTTTTAGCCCCTGCTAATTTTTGCAGAGACCTGGTTGTATGGTTGCAGAGATCTTGTCTGATTATAAATGTTGGCTCATACATTATATGTCACATTTTTTCTTCCATAATGACCATCGATATAATACCTGCTGACCATGCACCAGCCATGGTTATGCATTTATTTATAACCTTAAAGTGACAGAAAGTACCTTACCAAAATTCGAAATCAGGATTTCATTCGGTTTTGTTTGAGTACAGCAGGTTAAAAAAAATTAGTTCAAGATTCACAGAAATATTTGGTGATCTCTCTTTAAATAAATATGCCCGAACATAACCCTGAAAATGCTCTATTCACTACACAAGCCAACTGTAAAACTTATTCATGTGCACTTTAACGTTTGATATTCATATACTGTGTAATATACTTCCTCAAATGAGCTTATGTAATATTTTTTATTCAGTATTTTTATCATCCAAACATAAGCATACCTTTGGAATCTTAATACCTTAACCCCCATGACACTGCAAAACAAACATCATTAGTGTTTTTGTCACTTCATCAGTGACAGGATATTGTCACTTAAATACAAACACATCATGATTATGGGAACTGGTATAACTGTGGTGATGAATTGTAAGTTTATGTTTACCAGGACAAATAAACAACAGTGTAATGCTCTGTTGCTGTCGATTTTAGGTTGAGTTTCTGAACTTACCTGTTGGCTTTCTGGCCCACAAGTGAGAAGTGGTCAATATTTGCTGCTGATACTATATCCAATTAAATCTGCTTTGCCAAAGACCTCATTCACATCAGACATTTTTGCTTGCCATAGTAGAAAAGGACTAACGACGGCTGTTTAATTCAAGTGTCCATCAAGCCACGAGTGTGACAGTGATCCAGAATGCACAATAACAAGGGCCTGAAACTGAAGCAGCAAAATGTAATTCAGCCTTCATTCATTTCTACCTGTGTATTTTCTACTGTGACATGCCAACAAAAAGGCCTATAGATCAACTCAAGTGAGTTGAGAGTGGGAGTGCAAAAACACTGATCTGTCTTTTCCTGCATATATACCTGCATGCTCTTTGAATTACCATAAATTGCACTAGCTATTATAGTTTACATCTGAAAGTACTTCCATGTAAATTGAGCAACAATCTCTCCAAATCAGAATTTTGTTTGTACCCATTTGAGGAGAGACAAAGTACCTGTGTAGTATCTGTAGTTGTTTCACCTTCCATCCTGAAAGAGAGAATCTCCAGGCATCAGAGAAAGAGGGGTTTAGGGATTAAGGCACAAGAGGAGGCTCACCTTTTCAAGCGAAGTGCCGGACCTCTGGTGTCTCGCTGCTGTTGAAGGAGGGGAGAGATGTGAGGGAGGGCCTGGGTTCCTGGGGCCTGGGAGGTTAACTGTACTGTGTGCCCCCCTTCAGGAGACAACAACAGTCAGTCTGTTACAATCAACCAAAGGGAGAAACAAGAAGGGACTGCAGAGATTGAAGAGGCAGCAAAATGTACTGAGAGTGCTGAAGAGATGGAAAAAGACAGACAGAGAAGGGGAGAGTGCAACACCTGTCTGTGGCTCATATTTTGATGTTTATAGCCATATGTGCGTATTCTGCAGCATCTGAGTGGCTCAGTAAATAAAATGCTCTTTCTTCCAGAAATCATGTCAAATCCTTGTATGTGCCAGCAGTAGGCTACATACAACAGACTTTTTATTAATAATAAATGCCTCTCCTTCATGTGATTGTACCTCTGCATTACAGCAGGGCTTTTGTTTTATCTTAATAAATTATTATGCCTTATGGCAAAACAGCCACATGCATTCACACAGTTTGCAAAAACTTGGAGGAGCTCAAATATTTAGATTATTGGTGTCCACTCGATTCAAGAGCAAATCTGTGTGTTCAAAACATGAATTTGATCATCATAACTGTTACTGTTATTCCATCTACAGGCATGGCTACAAATGTGTATTTTTATGATTACAAATATATGGGGTGTAGCAGAAATTATATAAGAAAATTGAACTATTAGAATAGACACTGGACAATACACAATACTGAAATTCTCAAAACCCATCGGTCCCCTTTGAAGTCAAATTAAAATTACTGACAATTTATTATAAAATATGACAGTGCTTATCCTTGCAGATGATGTCCTCCTTTTAGACATGCTACCACTGAATTTGAAATGTGACATGACGTTCAGTGCCTTGCAAGTGGAGCGGTTCTGAATCCTCCAGTGAGATTTACATGGGAAGATATATGAACACACTGCTTTGAGTAAATGAAACTCATGTTTTAGGTCCTTTGCAACTAAGGATGCAATTCATAGATTAGGTTTCCAAACCTACAATAAATTTCAGCCCTCAGCAAGCCCACAGAAAAACTAGTATGTTCATTAGGGCTCCTGGTCCTCCACAATCATTCAAAAAATTCTCCATAATTATGAGCATCTTTGCAGTGGTCTTTGCATGGATCAAATGTTCACTTTCAAATATCAAACAGTTACGGTGCCACTGTGTACAGCATTAGCTCTGACATTGCCATTCATTCTGTTTCAGATATTAAAGAAATGTTGTAAATTGTAATGACAACTCTCAGACTTGTTTGTGAATAAACAAAAAAGAGAAGTTGAGTTTATTTTTAGTTTTATTATTTTTTTTCTTCACGACTACGTCATATGTCTTGACGGTTCGCATAAAACACATTCACAGGTTCACAAAAGTTATGTTAATTACAGTGAATAAAGTATTTGTAACACTTCAAAAAACTAAACACAGTAAAGAGTAAATTCTTATCCTTAACTGAAGCAAATACTAATGGAATTTGCTTTCATTTATAAAAGCTACTAGATATATATTTCAGTGTAATATTCATTTATAATTCTTTTTCCTTTTTGTCATTACACAATAGATTGCTGGAGACAAACATGAATGTTCCAAACAGCAATACTCATAACTTAAAATAGCTGCACATTAACGATATAAAATAAAATTAAATATTCATGAATACTTGACAAGGGGAATATTGTCTGATCACTTAAAAAATGTCTAAGTGTTAAACAATATTTGCTGCACTGCTTGTAACAAAAACGAAAGGTTAGGGAGGTCCAAGGTTTACTAAACTAGTTAACAGTGGTGCTTGAGGGCTGTTGTGTACTTTCATAAATTTTTCCCCCTTCCCCCACCTTCAAACATACATTGTCACCCATATTTTATTCTTTATTAAGAATCAGGAAATTTTCTTAAGGCTCACAGGGTGACTGTAACAAGAACCAAAGAACCATTTAATGAACTTTGACAAGAATTTTCCTCCCTTGTTTGTTTTTAACAGCTTTTTCTCAACAAAGTCAAATAGTTCCTACAGTACCAACAGTATTTATAGGTAACAGAATGTAAGAATGCCTTTACAATGTTAAGTTTTGAGGCATTTTATGTGTCCTCGGTTGTAGTTAGTCATTTCACATTATTTCTCTGCCAGTAGACAATATCAATAACCAGACATTTGGCCACAGAGTATGTAATAAAGATACTCAGAGACTTTGTATAACACATAGTTCAGGGCGTTTCATTCACTGCACCACTTTAGGCCCCATTAACAAGTGCATGGTTATTGTTTTTAGGGCAGGCTGTGTTAAAAGCGTCGGCCACCAGGGGGCCCTGGCCACCTCTGGCCTCTGCCAGGTGGGGGATGAGGCGGAGGAGAGACCGGTCCATTGTGGTAGCTGTGTAAAAGGATAAAATCACACATTGGATTCTTGGCTTTGGCCAATAGGGGGGGCATACTCTGATGAGAGCAGCCTTCTGAATTATTCCAGTCAGGGATATCACCCCATCTGAATTAACTGTGTTCCTTTGAGAGGCAAAATACAGTGAAATGTCCTTTCCAGTTTCATTATTCCATGCACTATTTAAGAATTTGTCTTCAAATAGTTGAGCAGCAAGTATAATTTTTTTTTTATAAACTAACTTAATATTCTTTAACTCAACAACTGTTGTAGTACGACTATTTGGGCATTATTTCTTCTATTTGGTAGACAAACTGAGAAAGAAATGCGATAATTAGAGGGCAAGTTAAAGTAAAGAAAATTAAGTTATAATGAAGTTTAAGAGAAAGAGACAGAAAAGACTGTATTTGTGTCACAATCCTCAGTCTTTGTTCTCGCAGTTTGTAGTGTATTTCCATCAGAGATTTAAAGGAACACAACTGGGGTAAACATGTCTGACATGCTTCCCAGATGTACTTTAAATCAATTAGGAGTCTTAAAAGTATGCAAGCAAAGTGTAGAGAATTGTGACTTGCAAAGCTTAAGCATGATATTAATATTCAAAGAGCTCTTACCCTCTTGGGCCGCGGGGATGAAAGTGGCGTGGAGGTCCAGGAGGCAGCATACCACGGCCTCGAGGGTGAGGTGGGCGCCCTCTGAAACCAGGATGACCTGGAGGAGGAGGTGGAGGGGGTCCGTGCCTACAGACAGGTGCAAACATGACAGCAACGCAAGAAACAAGTTTCATGCACATTTTGTCAGTAAACCTATCAAAACCTGTTGTAGTGAGTAACAAGTGATGCACTTCTAAGGTCAGTTGTGTGATACTAAACCTCCACTCAGTGGAGGCAAGTAATTCAAAAAGTAAAAAGTGACAAAAACGTAATAAACTGCTGCATCAAAATGTATGTAATAATAAAATGTAATAAAATATATCGTTACTCTGTCTACTGTAACCAGATAAAACAGATACTTTTAGGACCAAAACACTATAGAATCTTCCTTAAAATCTTCCCTGTGTGAGGTCCATTTAGCTACTAAAGCAGCTTCATGGGTGTCTGGACATGTGATTGTGTAAGGTGCTTACCTGGGCATAGGTGGGAAGGGGCCTCTGAGGTGCATGGGAGGTGGGGGGGGAGGAGGAGGAGGCGGGCCCATACCCATTGGTCCACCCCTACCTCGATGGCCTCTAAGATCTGGGTAAGGGCGCATTCTCCCCATTCCCCTGCAAGGGAAAGGCAGGAAATATAATTTATCAAAACGCAACTGTGGTTCATAAGGTAGAGTGGATCATCCACTAATCAGGTAGTTTGATCCCCGGCTCCTCCAGTCCAGTTGTTGAAGTGTCCTTGGGTAAGATACTGAACCCCAAATTGCCCCTGATGGCTGTTCCAACAGTGTATGAGTGTGTGAATGTGGCATATATTGTAAAGCAATTTCAGTGGTGACTAAGACTAGAAAAGCGCTAATTAAGTGCAATCCATTTACCATTTACCAAACTGATAAGGGTTGATACCTAAATACATTACACCTCAGTGGTAGTTTCACTTTGAGTAAACCTACAAAAAAGAAAAACATTTAGAGGACTTAAAACATAACCACACTATTTGTTTGTATTCTAGCATAATACTTAAAACACTACATGTTTGATTAATGAAGTACCTCATGGGTGCAAGTCCATTCATGGCTCCATCCTTCATTCGACCCCTCCCATGTCCAGGTGGACCAAACCCCTTTATCATGCCTCTTCCACCACGCATGCCACCACGAATCATCCGACCCCCTCTACCACGGCCTTTGAACCCACGACCCCTGAGGAGATTTTAAAAAAAGAAGAGGAAATCATTAACTATATACAGTATTGTTGTGTTCCCCAATCCGACCTCTTCATGATTGAATCATAAAACTAGAATGGCATTCAGTAGAGCGCATACCTCCGCCAAGGCCAAACAATCCAGCACGTCTGTCAGATCCAGATTATTATCATTATTATCTTGATCTGCACCAAATTGTACAAACTCATAGATGCCAACACAATAAATATGTAAGATTTTTTTCACATAATTCACACATTATTTCCTGAATTATTTCCTTTCAACAATGTTGAAAAATGCCCCATCTCACAATGTTTAGGAAAGTGACAAAAATAATTACTGGATCCCTTTTACTAGATCTGCACCACAATATAATAGTTTCTACCCTAGCCCACACCCCATCCCTCCACCACCTTACTTTTTTCATAACCCTGCTCACAAACAGAAACGGGTGAAAACATAACCTCCTTTACTGAGGTAAAGATAAGAAAAAACCATGAGCAAATCTAGATTTCATTTGAGAGTGTATTCATTGACTGCTGTTTAAGAGACGTGATGTGAGGGGGACTCTCACCTGCTGTCTACATGTAGGTTAAAAACATTATACATTCATATATACAGTAGAGGCTGTACAAGACAACAGGACAGACCTGGATTTATTCTCGATTACAGGTCTCTCAGATTCATCCTTGGAAGTCTTTGAAGTTTCTGTCATCTTCTCTTCTGTGTCTGCATCCATCTGAAATGATTCAGTCAGTAATTACATACAGCACACTACCACAATGGCAATTTATTTAACATTAGTAGTTGTTAAAAGTAACATCCTTTATTTTCTTACACACAAAACACAACTTGCTCATGACTTCTCATGACACTTCTAATAGCAAAGATACTCTCTGCTTCCACATGGAAATGTATTATTCAAACTCTGCAGAAAGAAAAAAAAAAGGGCATTGTACCATTTTAAAAATAAATTCATGTAGAAATAAATTAACTGTGAATTCCCTGCAGCTGTAAGGTAATCAAGCATGACTTGAACAAATGGCAGCCTCATTCACCAAGATTTATCTGATGTAGGAAAAAAATCCTCTTGCAAAATCATTTTTTAAACTAGTGTTATATTGATAATCCAGCGATAGCTACTTCTGTGGTTTCTAGATTCTTCTGTAATGCTTGATGAGATACACGTTAACATATATGGGACATTGACATTGAGTGAATTTATCTTTCAACCCCCCCACCCCCATGAGTTTAGTGAACTTCAGTGGCCTCCCCAGTCAACAGATCTGAATCCAATTGAACAGCTTTGGGATGTGGAATAACAGGAGATTGGCTGCATGAATGTTCAGATTACAAATCTGCAGAAATGATGTGATGCAATCATGTCAACATGGACCAGAAGCTCAAAGGTGTTTCCAACCTCTAGTGGAGTCCATGCCATGAAGAACTGGGGGGGTTCTGAGAGCAGTTTCTATTAGGGGGATGTTTACAGGCTGCAGTGTTGCCAACAACTTGGCTACTTAGAAGAGAGCCACCATCTACTCTGCTCAATGAATGGCAGGGCAGCAGCAGCAGCAACTTGTTGATGTTTTGATTATAATATTCACTGATTAACAGCAAATTTAGGCATGTGGTTTTATGATGTGACACAAGGTTGTTAAAAGGTCATTTAACAGATTCTGGACATATGAAACCTCAGCATTGCATTGTTCTACAGCTGGATGTGACACACTGCGAGTTAAGCACAAAGAACTACAAATCAATGCTGAGAGCTAGAAAATTAAAAATAATCTTAAAGAAGTGACTTTCAACTTTCAAATATGACCAACCACCCCAGAAGACCAAAAATTGAACGAAATGTGTTTGTATTCCTCTGTATCAGATACATTGCTGATGGTCTAGCAATTCCCATAATGTTATTTGGCCAAACACCCTTTTAAAAATAACCATATTCTAAGATAAATTCTGTAAGGACACAGTAGACATATACACAACTGTTGAATCCCTGCAGGAATTACATACCATTTATAAACAATATTATAGATGACAAAATGCCACAAGGTATGGTGAGGTCACCAGGAACATTACAGCTTCATTTCTTCAGAATTTTTATGTATGTCTAAAAGCACTTAGGTTTTTAGGATCATTTGCATTCTTCAAAGGCTTATGAACTGTGAGTTTCAGCACCTTTATAGACTTTATATTAATTTATGCAGGTACTGCTGCATTTATATCGACATTTTGTATGCCCTTTGTCTCATACTTTCTTTAAAATGGTAAGGACATTCAGTTGACTACGTTAATTATGTACAACTGGCTAAGATTAATTCAGTCTAATGTAACAAATAAGGCAATTAATCATATCTTCATGACAGTTTAACAGGAGGCTGTAGTTTGAGGTGTTGTTGAATTGTATTGCAACATACTGAGGTGTTTTAATATTTAATACTTCCCATTTATATCGATAAAAGCAGACTCTATCTAGCTATCTATTTACATATGATTAAATATTGCATATTATTGAACATTATAAGGAGGTAGCCACAGCAAAAGGTTTTGTGTGGAGGTGCCACTGCTTTTAATTCGCTGTCTCTGATGCATATGATAATGACAATAACGTCTGTAAGTAAAGGCTGTAACCATGCCATGGAGGACTGTCACATATACATATTCTATCAGTGTTATTTTTAAGTAAATAAGCCTGCAAAGCCAAAGGCACGACGAGCGTCATGGAAACATTTTTATCCTGATCCTGGGAGGCAGTTGGAGCTCTGAGCTCTTTAATATTAAGCTAGGACCAGCAAAGATGCCACGTTCAACAAATGCACTTCAAATCTCAAATCATACTACTTAATACTGTGTAACATATAATGGCTAATGCTGAGCACAGCTGGTTAAATTTTAATGATGACGTTTAAGGGGAATGTCTAATTCCTGGAATTAACATCGCAGAGCAGACCAGACCTGACATGCACTACACTGTGTCCAAAACAGTTGCTTCGTTATAAATAGTGTTCAAGTGGGCATTTAACGTTTGTCTAGCCATTTTCCTGACTAAAAATAAGAAATAAAGTAAGCCTCGTAACGAGTGTGGAGCTAAATATTAAGGTTGGTCGTATATGAAAGGGGCGTTCCTTTGGTATTCAAACGCTTTGGTGAAATGTAAAAGAGAAATCACTTACTTCAGTTGGTGGTGCAGGCGAGGTAGATTAAATAGTAATATATTTTTTCCAACTTGATAATAAAAATAAAAATATATTAGAAAAATAAAAAAAAATGTTTACAAAAACCCCTACAGCTTCTGTGGCCCCTTAGCGCTTTGAAATGGCGGCTTCGTCAGACTAGATTCATCCCAGGTTGGGATTTCTTTGTGAGAAACACATTGTATGAAAGTCACCTCCCACCGGGAAGAATGCTAGTGTCTGATTGGCTCTTTCTAGCTGTCATTCAAGACTGTTGTTGGGTCTTCTGGTATTCTGATTGGAAGAACGGGCTGGCGTACATTCCTACTGTCTTCAGCCTATACTTCAGCCTGAAGACGGTTCATTAACTAACTGGGCCACAAGTTCAACACAAAACATACATTTATTGTAGATTTTTCAGTAGAAACCATGCTTGTGGAAATGAAATGCGTCTGACACACGGTGAATACATTGGATTTATGTGACAACTTCAAAATGTTAAACCAGCCTGATATATTGCATAACTGGGAAAAAAACGTGAAGAATTTTATATTTTACTTGTCCCATACAAAAACAACAGAGCTACTTATTTAATAACCTTCAGACACAAAAAACTTCAAAATATCACACAGCTACTTAAGCTCTACAATATACCAGGAGTATCATACTAATGAGTATGATGTAGTAAATTCTAAAACGAACATGAGAATATTGGAGATATTTTTCATCATTATGACTGTAGCCTATTTCACCCATGAACACATACATCTCAACTAACAGCAAATTCTATTTCCAAACACTGAATTCATAATTCCAACAAAGACAGCCTCATATACAAAAATAATTGTCAAGTGCCCGCTAAAAGAATATTTACATCATGAGAAGGGCAAAAAGAGAAGAAGAATATTAAATGAATTTTACTGATTAAGTTTAATATGGTACTCATCAGAGATATAAAACTAACTCCATCAAATGTCCAGATGAGGATGAACCTGATGCGTAAAAGTGGTCCATTTTGTGTCCGTTACGCGCGGCTCAGGATGTCTGAAAGCTTGTTGATGTATTCAATGGTGTATTTGAGGGTTTGTATCTTGGTTAGAGGTTGACCTCTTTTGCTGTAGTCCGGCGGCAGGTAGTCGCGGAGCTGGTGCAGGGCCTCTGCGAGACTCCTCATCCGCATCTTCTCCCTCTCGCTAGCCTTCATGCGTCTCTTGGTGGACATCTTGGGCTTGCCGTGCCTTTGCGCTGCCGGAGCCGTCCTGCGCCCCGAGAAGCCAAAAGAGAAATCCTTGATCTCCTGATGCCCGCCGGAGTAGCACATCTCCGGTGAAGAGCACATGGAGTCCATCGAGGATTCCGGTGAGGTGGATTGCGGCGAGTCCTGATCTTCTCCAAAAGTACTTTCACGGCTCTTCCATTCGGACAGTATTTTAGCTGTAACCTCCAGGTCCATGTTAGAAATATCCCGAGACTTCCAGGCGTCCATGCAGCGAGGATGACATTCAGGGAGGATGACAGGCAGATTCTGTGAAGGTGATTTTACCAAAGCGTTTTTATATAGAAGCAGATCTCCGGAGGTTTATGGGTTCACAGCTCAGGCGAAAAAAAAAGTTCAAAGAAAACCTCAAGTGCCAAAATGCAACCTTCCCGAAGCCCGTCGTTCGTTATCACTGGGGTGTGAATAAGGCTAAATAGACGGATAATGTGATAGAAAGAAAAATAATTAGATTCCTTTTGTGGGAAATTACTCTTTAAAGTCTGCACGACGACAATTATCAGTTCGATGTGATCTGTCTAATGAAGAAATGGGAGGATGCGGTTTCACCTGAGATCTTCACACCTCTCTGGTAAGTCAGGCCTGCGTGTGTCTTCAGTCTGGAAGTTAAGTGGTCAAAAAACATTGGCCAACATAATTTTAACCAATTAAAAGTAGCGTTGTAGAGCCAATTTATCTAAAAGAAACGCATAGGAGCCACGGAAGGTTCTGTGTGTCATTGTCCTGTCTGCAAATGGTGTATAATTACAGTGACAAATGATTTCATATAGTCCCAAATCTGAATCCAAAATGCCGTTTTTCTTTTAAAGGTGCACAGATTTTGCAACTTTCCATCTGGAGTAATGCTACTTGTTTCCAAAGCGATTAACTTGCTTGAGTTTTCTACAAAATCTAAATATCCTTAACAAGAAAGTTATTCAAGGTTCTATACAGTACCAGTTAGTTTGCATTGGAAAGTAAGTTGAGTTATCCAGATACGCTGATTTTCAGCACTTGTTTTAGGAAAAGTAAGATTCAAGAGCCAACACTAGGACTGAGTTGTTATTTGGGCAGCTGTCACCAAGCTCCTGCCAGACCTTTCATGTCTGAAAAGGTGAGTAAGGCCTCACTCATGATCAAGGGGGCCAACACTAGTGGGTTGTAAAACCAATGGCTCAGTGTCCTATGTGTCCCCCTCAGCTGCAGTGCCTTCTCTCTCTGGCTCTGTGAAGTGACATTTAGCTTGTCAGAGAACAGTGGGAGAAATTAAGCACATGTGGTGCCATAATATGGCATTTAATACTTAGAACTGTGCTAATCCACAAGCGCCTCACCTGATTTACATCAACTGTTAAATTCAGGGTCAGAGCAACAGCCTGTGGTACGATTGGTTTTAGTGCAACAACACTTTCTTAAAGAACTTTTTCTTCATTTGAACACTTTCATGTTTTGCTCACTGGGCATGCAGTCAGTCTAGTTTTCAAAATTATCCAACAAACATACAATAGCACACCTTTAATAAAATCATGTGTATCATAATTATTATGTGCAATGTATTTCTTATAAACACGCAAAAATAAACATGTGAAGAAACAGATGAAACATTTTGACGCAAATTAGTTACTTTCAAACCACATCTCACTAAAACTGACATTAATACTTCCCCCTTGTTTTAAAGAAAAAGTTACATTTAGGATCACAGTAACAGGTTATGGTAAAGCATAGACTGACTTTTATTTTCTTTATTAATTGTTTGGTATGTAAAACGTAAAAAAAAAGGCTATCACAATTTCCTAAATCTCTAACTGTTTAAATGTCCTGTTTTGCCTGATCAACAGGCCAAAACCCCAATAGAATCAATTTATTATGTTAAGACAAGAAAAAACAGCAAATTCTCATATTTGAGAAGCTGAAACCATCAAAGGTTTGATATGTTTACTTGAATAATTACTCAAACCATTATTAGATTATTAAAATAATTGCTGATTAATTTTCTGTCAATTGACTAATTGGCTGATTGTTGCAGCTCTACTGTAAAAAGCTAGTAAGTGAACCTTGAGTTTTTTTTTTCTGTCAAACTATTGTTTCCAAAATTGCAAATAAACGTTCACATTTATAAAAACATAAAATAACTTAAATGTTTCTGTCCATCATCCTGTAACCATGCTGCTCACTTCAGGAATTTGAGTCTCAGTCTCTCCGCCAGTGGCAGCGGACTCTCAATACAAATCACTGAATCATCACTATCTAACACAGTGATAGGTGAAGCTGGAGCTGGAGAGGCCACATGACAATCCACAATAGCTGGTTGGACATCCTGGCATCTGCTTTTCGTCGATACAGGTGTTCTGTTTATCTCAACATCTGTGCTGTGTCTCTGAGATTTTGGTCCTCCCAGCTGAAGGCTGTGGGCCGGTGTCATTGTTTGTTTGTTTGTTTTGGGCACAGAAACCGGTATCAGGGCATAGTCTGTGATGAAGCTGGCCATGATCTTATTTATGGGTTTTATCTTAACCCTTCTCTGGGGTCCAAACTGCTGGTTCTCTGCGTCACTGTCCTCGCTGGATGAACACATGCTCAAACATACACTCTTCTTGGTGGTCTGTGGCACGTTCCTGTCTTTGTCGCTTTGACCTGGGTCAGAGTGGCACTTCTGTCGTGGGACAGCAGATGATGATGTCCTGACAAATTTATACTTCTGATGTGGCTTTTGGGAACCATAACATTTGTCCTTTGGCTTACATTGATCTTGTACTGGAGATATTAATGGCTTTTCTGTTTCTGCCTTATTCTTTACACTTTGGCTTTTATCGATGAGTGGTTCTTTTTTGTTAACATCAGATTCCTTCCCTGTCAATTTACCGTCAACATCATTTTTACTGGAGATTTGTCCATTTGGTTTTAAGTTGGAGCTGTGAGGAGAAATGTGTTCGAGGGAGGCTAACTCGTAATTGAGTTGCTTTGCCACCACATCATTGTGTAACTCCCTCTGGTTTACAGCTTTGGCTGTATTCCTCATAAGCACCCTGTCCCTCAGAGGGCACTCTGCGTAACACAGCTCTGGAGCTGATCTGGAGTCTGCTTGTTTGACATCACTTGAGGTATTCTGCTTGGTTTTTTCACTCTCTGTTTCCTTGACATCTCCGTCTGTGGAGTTATTCCGCTTGGGCTCAGTGGTGTGGTCTGTAGCCGCTTGTAGAGTTGGAGAAGACGTGAAGGACAAAGCATCCCAGTCGATATCACTCAGGTGTAGAGCATCAATAACAGCAGAGACAGACGGTGAAGCAACAGCCTCCGATTCTGCATGAGACAGAGGAGTGCTGGGGCAATTACTCAGACTGCTGTGGTCTTCTTTTGAGTTACTATGCTGTTTATGGTTCACTGGAGTGTCCAAAACCACCACTTCTGGTTTTTCTGTGTTTGAAATGGTAGGGAGAAGTGTTTGTGGTTGAGTCATAGCATTTGCTGAGGAGGAACTCTGAAGGCTCATCTGAGCCAAGAGGTCTGAAATGCCATCAGAGACATCAGATGGCTTCTCCTTTTTCCTCTTTGATTTCTTTTCTGTAAAGCAAATGTAGACAGAGAGTCAAACGTTTAAAATCTTTGTCTGAGTGAGTTCACGGCTACTCTGAATATCCTCACTGGTATCTCTTGACTGAAACTTTTTCAATCTCAGTGGCTAGTTGTCCATACAACATATTAGACAGTGGAGCTCTATAGCAGTGATAACCAGGAGGAGCACAGTACAACCTGCACAAAGTGACAGCGAGACCTGTGAGACAGACACCTCTCAGCTGCATCAAAGCCTTTGGTGTGAACAGGCTGAGCTGCCAAACTCTACATTTTCAGGTGTCAGAGCGGCTGTAATAGACAGCCTTGAAAAACAAGTCAAAGCTCCAGGTGCCTTTGATCAGAACACCCTTGTCAGCCCAGTGTGGGAAGTCTTCTAGCCTGTCACGTCCGTGAAACATTATTCACATTTAATGTCAGACATGGTTAACTTTCTAAGACCGAAGATAGAAAAATCCTCAGAGAAAAACAACTATTGAACGTTTATCTCCTGACATTCATTTCTTTAAAGAGAAGATTACAAAGTATTGTCTTACTTTTGGTCTTGTTTTCTTCAGCTAGAGCTTTGTCTCTCAGGTAACTCTCCACCACCTCTGGGAAGGCCACACGGAAGAGAGACTCTTCCTCTACTGTCCTCACCTCATGTTGACCCTCTGCAGGCTGATCCTCAGGAAACACGTAATGTTCTGCAGAAGACCAAAAAAAAAAAAAGGTCAATAAATCAATTACTCAAGGTCCGGTCAAATTTGCCTGCGGTAAATTGGCTGCTGCTGTTTTTGTCTTTATTGATCCAGTAAGAAAATAAAACACAACACAGAACTGCTCTATTACAATAAAGCAATTACAGAGAGATACAGGCCTGAGGATCAACACCAGCCCTGGGAGGCACTTACATTTCAAAACACCAGAGGGTGAAATTAAAAATATTTTTTGGGGTTTATTTTGAGGAAATTCAACTGTCTATATTGCATGATTTGCATTTGAACTGCAACCCCAGCAACAAAATGGGCAAATTTTAAATCATAAATGCAATCAAAACTTACTTACTCAGCTTACTTGATAAGGCATACACATATATGTAATGACTGTGATAAAATAATGTATTTTTTTTGGAAATTAACCCATATTTCCAACAAACTCTGCTATTGAGACATAAAACAGGACAGTCAGGGATATCTGAACCAGGGGACTACAGTTTACAGGGAAGTCCTTTGGATAAAGGTGCTTCTTAATCTGCTGAAGACACTATTTTTCTATTATAAAACCATTTATTTGTAATCTGTGACTTCAGGCACAGTAACTTTATAATAGTACAATACAATACAACCCTTTAGTTGTATTAAAACTATACATTTTCCATGATGTAATATAAGTGATGAGGAACCACGTTAGTTAGCTGATTGAGACTTTCTCAGGCCAGTCATGTCAGGCAGGCTTGTTAGTGAAGTGGACTTTGATATGACAGATTTCCCAGCCTGGGGAGGAAGCCAGTTTAGCACCTAGTGGCTGTTGTGACTGATCTGTCACCTCTGAACCCCACCTCACAACCAGTCACTAACAGACAACCCGGTGACGAGCACCCTGCACCCCAGCCTCCGTTTAATGCAGCAGTCCTGTCACTCAACTCACAGGATGTTTCGTTAGATATAGTTTTTTCTCTTATCTTCTAATATGAGAGAAAGAAGACTGCAGGAAAACTGAGAATAACTGATTCAGTGGATGAGATACTTTGTCTAATGAGAGTGTAAATAAAAAATTTTCCACAAGGTCTTAACTGACCTGGTGTGCTCCAGATGACTTCAAAGCAAGCGACAGCATTCCTCACTCTTGGTTTCAATATTCTTTTGTAGGAAAAAATTAAACAAACTTTTATTAAGTCACTGAAGAGACTTTTTTGTTAGAAATGGGAAATTAACCTGTAGGACTTACCTGAGGGGCTTGATTTGGGACGACATTTCTCTTTCATATTTCCTGTTCATCAACTCTGCATAGGTCATCAAGACCAAAACCTTTTCACAGGTGTAGTGCTTCGGCCACTCCATCTTGTCACAGGCAAATTTCTGGAAAACACAAATTTTTACATGCAACTCACTAAAGTCCTAACTAAACAACTAACTGAAGAAGCACTTTAAATAAACCAATTACCTGCATCAGCTGCATGTTTGGTTGTCTCCTCTTGAAATGTGACACAGGCTTATCTTTGGAAACCAGAAACTCACTAATGATCTGCAAAATGCAATTTAAGCAGTAAAAGTTAATACTGTAGATTGTTATACTAGTGTCTGAAACAATAAACACAGAAACCATAGCAGATGAAAACAGCTGTACCTCTGTGAAAGGGAACTGTTGACTTGCCAGTGTTTTCCTGAAAAAGAAACAAAACACAGAATAAACGTAACATAAAAACAACCCATTCTTTGAAATCATCTTTGAAAAATCTTTTAAATATTTAGAAAGTATTTTATGATGATTTAGAGCTGCAACTCATGATTGCAGCCATTTCTGATTAATTCACTGATTGTTTTCTCAATTATTTGATGAATTGCTTGAGCTATAAAAAGTCAGTAAAAAGTGAAAAATGCCCATCGGAAGTTCCCAGGTCTATGTTTAGGTCTTCAAGTATCTTGTTGTGCCCGATCAAATGTTTTAAACCCAAAGATATTAAGGGTACTATCAAAACATTGACACTTCAGTAACTTGAACCAATAAAAGTTTGCCATTCTTGCTTAAAAATGTCTTAATGAATAGCCAAAAAACAAACAAATCTATGGTGATCGTTTTCTTTAACAATGAACTAATGAACTAATGAACTAATTGTTTCAGTCCTTAAGTAACATTATCAGTTATTTCACTTCCTCTGACTGAATGAAGATGTTCACTGATAAATTTACTATAACGCTACTAGTCTTGATCTTCTTTTTAATAAGTTCTTGTTTTTCTCATGCTATTCCAGGTTTGTTTTGCAACTGTTGTTTATTTACAGAAGGCCACGTACTTCCTGATATTTGCCTCAAAAGACAAAGCCTGACGGGTCTGCTCATAGTGGTGCCAGTCACAGGGACACTGGTAATCAAAATCCTGAGGTTCACAGAAATGTTTACTATCACAAAGCACACAGCCGACACGCTCATGTGCCTTTGCTGAGCCTGAAAACGAAAGAAGACGAATCACAATAAATACTTAATGGAACAGGAGAAGCAGGAGAGAGAGAGAATGCATTACTACAACGTTGACCGTTGTAAAATCAGAAGCATGTTCAGACATCTCTCACATACGTGTATGTTTTAACATGACAGGTTAAATGGTTTTCAATCAGCCATGTGTGAGATCTGGGACACCCCCACTTTGCTTTCCACCTCTTATCAGGCTTAGAAACAGGGGTCAGAGTTCAAAGCAGAGCTCCACTCACCAGGATGTCGACATATGTGGCAGTGAGGAACTTTTTTTACAACTTTCTCAGAGACACCTGCATTATCCTCCTTCCACTGCATGAACCTGAAGCAACCAGAGAAAAGTTACAAGTTCACCAATACAACACGTTATCTCCAGCTGGTAGGAAACAAAGTGATCAGTGGATTTTGTTTCCTACCTCTGCAGAAGTGTTTGTCCCTTCAGTGTCTGGATAAGTTTAAGAGTTTGCTCTTTACCAACACCCAGTATGCCCTTAAGAAAGTATGGAAAGGCACAGTTAATATAGGTCATACATCTCAGTGAGTATGATGTGGCAAATTTGAAAGGGTCTTCTCTACCTTAGGAATGTAATCACAGCCAAGGAGGATGGCCAGACCAACAAGGTTCTCTCTGGACAAATGTAACTCCGTTTGCAGTCGAGAGGTCCGATAACAGTCCACCTGAGGGTCCTGGAGGGAAAAGTGAGGAACAATACTATGCAGATTTGGTGTTTTTTACAATTTGAATATTGGTAGATCAATAAACAGAATTAAATTGATAATGACACAGATAACTATATTTTTAATTACTGATTATGACTATTTTTAATGATGTAAGAAACTAAATAAATCTTGAAATGCCAATCACAAGTTACCATAACACATGCCTCCTTGGTTTTGACAGCAAACAAAGGGATATGAAAAGAGAAAAGTAACCATCTATTTGTATTTGCTGTTATAATCAGCAAATGTTTGGGATTTTTACTTGACAAATTGTGTAATAAAATATCACTGATCAAAACTTAAATCCATTAATTAGCTGTCAGTCTTTTACGTGACTAATGATTTTGCCTATAAGTAATAAAATAATTATTTAGTATATAATTAAACACTCCCTCTTCACTGGTTGAATTAAAATTGTTACAATTCTACATCATGAAATAAAAAAGCACTTTTAAGTATGAGGAGAAACTAATAGTATGTTAGTAATAGTGAGTATAACTACTTACTGGAAATCAACAGGGAATTTGTGTTTAAACACAATCCTGGAAAGATCACAGTTCTGACAGGTGCCCAAGTGTTACTATGGTGTTCTGGATGCAGTTTAATGTAAATCGCTGGACTGAGCCTTGATTACAGGCATTTACATTTAAGTACTAATCCCCAGAATAGTTTGAATTGAAGAAGCCTGAATGAGCAATGATACATCATCATTCAAACGCCAGTCCAATTATTTGGGATCAATTTTCTCCTGATTTTGTACAGTGTTTTGTACACTTTCACATACATACTTTACTATTCATGTTGAAGTTCCTATAGACAGTTCGGGCTCCATACAGAAACGCATCTCCATCATTGGTGATGCAGCCATCCACCATGCCCTGCGAGTCCAGGTAAGCACACATGGCCTCGGCCTCCCCAGCGGCTGTCACCCATGGCACACCCAGGTAATCCAACATCTCTGCACACTACAGAGGTAAGAGAGCGTGTGCTTAAAAACAACATGAAGTTATTATTATTAGAGATGCAGGAGACAGAAGAACCCACCAACCTCTCTGAGTACAGCTTTGAAGCGCCCTCTGCTGGTATTTGTTGATTTAGAAGTAGAAGCCTTTTTAAATCCTCCAAATCTTGTTTCTGTCCTCTTGCTCATGGTTTCTGCTTTAAGTTTAGGGGCCTCTCCTTCCATGACAAAGACAAGCTTTACCCCCATAAGTGTGAGGGAGGACACCCTGAAAAATAAATTCCTACACACAAAAGAGCAATGCAGTGGGGTGACTGATGACCAACTGACGTACAGATGGATAAGGTTTCAAATATTAGCATTGAAGCTAACATACAGAAGAATAAATTTAAGCGTTTATATGAGAACATTACCTCAGGTGAGGCTTGGTAACTCTCCCCATCATTGCTTGGACATGCTGAGCCTCGCACACCCATAAACTCAGATCAACTGCCAGCGTCTTTCCGCTCAAACTGTACAACGGCACCGACTCACGAACCGTCTCAACAATAGACCACAAATCGTGAACACCCATAACTACCCCCGAAATGGCTTTATACTGGTTTAACAGCGAGAAAAGAGTAGAAAAACGTGACTACTAAACATCACAAACAGGACAACGAGCCGGATTTTTCAAACAGTGGCGCCGTTGGGTCACGTTCCACTTCGTTGACTATCTCTCTACTATGCTGCCTTCTTGCTGTATTATCGTCACATTGCCATTGAAAAGAACATCAATTGTGGCTACAAAATAAATACAGAATAACTCTATAATATTTGTACAGTAAATATAGCGCTTATTTAAGCAAACAACACGTTCACTAAAAACAAGGTGGAAAGAAAGGAACTACTGTAACAAAATTGAGCGAGGCCGGATAGTTTAACATGTACGTCATATTAAAGCGCCTCCAAATGCTTGTTGCTATGGATACGAGGCTCTTGTTTACAGACTGAGGTCTTGTTTTCATTTTTTTTACATTTTTTGCGTGTTTTTCTTACTTACCATGGACTCAAAAGTTCATATAGAAATTGTCGGCTTAATTAAAGACAGTAATTTCCATGTCGCCAAAAGTATTGCTGAGGTAAACTGTTTTATCAAGTCTGTAGTTTTATGTGTTTCATGTTCTCTTACCTTAACGCTCACAACAACACTAATATATTTTGACTATACATAACAGGGTCTAAAGCAGAAGTTTCCGGAGGCATTTCTGGACCCAAAAATTCAACCTTTACTTGAATTTGACTGGCACACTTATTTGTGCAACAAAAAAAGGGTAAGTCACCTGATTAAATTGTTTGACATCCAGCATGTCCATGGGTGCTGTGGTTCTGCATAGTGTTTTGTAGCTAGTCGACATCAGTGGTGAAAGATGTATTCAGATATCTTACTTAAGTGAAGCAATGCCAGTAAAACTACACCATTACAAGTAGATGTTATGCATTCAAAAATGTACTTAAAGGTGCTATACTATACACAAAGCTGTTTTTGAGTTACTGTGGCTGATAAGACCTCTGCTCAGGTTAAAGCTCTCCACTATGCTGTGAAACTAGTAATGTTATCTTCATGTACAAATAAAAAAGACAGAGTTGTAACTTGTGTTGTCCCACTTGAACAAGTTCAACAAAAGTATTATGAATGTGAGAGAGATGTTAGTGAAGCACAGTCTTTTCGGGCAAATTAAGTGTGTATCATGGGTGAACAGAAGTATGCTTAAAGTCTCAATTAAAACTACTCATTAGGCAACAGGATATTGACAATATCAGTTTTATATAACTACTGGCTTACGATTTTGTTATTGCATTATGGAATTATTATGACTGACACATTACAGTGTAAGCAGCATTTAAATGCTGTTTGAAGAAGAGCTAAATTTGATTAATTTGTATACTATTGGGTAAAAAAAAGATATAACAATGCATTGTTTTTTATAAACACATCATAGCATTTTGTATGTGTAATCTTACTCTGTAAAGTAACCATTAACTAAAGCACTCAAATAAATATAGTGAAGTTAAAAGTACCATATTTATTTTCTGAAATAGAAAATAGTAGAAATATGAAGTATTATAAAATGGAAATACTCAACTAAAGTACAAGAACCTCAAAACCCTATGTGAGCAAATGTTCTTAGTTAGATTCACCCATTACATCTATGTCTTCATATGCTGTTATAAATGATAATAAAGGTGACTGTATAAATTGCAGAACCTTGCTCATGGATGTGATGCTCTACTATACAGCTAAGCACACCTACACAACACAATACTGCTCTGGTTTGACGTTATGGTTATTCTTAAATTCTGAATCATAACACATCCATTGTTCAACACTTGTGATTCAAGGAGCTGCGTGGTGAAGTGTGGCAGTACTCCAGCGGCCTGATGTGCTTTCTGAACGGCGTTCTACTCGGTAATGAGAAGGATTTCGCCAGCTGGGCCAAAAATCAGTGGAGCTTCACTTTCGCTCGGCCAGAGGCTTTCTATACGGCTCTAACTGAGGACTACTACTCCAAACACCTCCAGAAAACTGGGGCAAGTCAGCATCACAGTCACATAAATAACAAATGTGGGTAACAAGTGGGTGTATGGGAGGTTCATATTCTTTCTGTGGTGGGTATCAGGAAATTTGTCTATGCGTTTTTGGTCATAATTAATTTAGCCATAATAAGCCATAATTCATTTAGATAATAATTGGATTATTCATATGCAATTTATTCATTTTTTAAGTTCATATATATATATATATTATCTAACTATATATAATTTATTACGTTTGTGAGTTTTTACTTGTATATAAGTTATATATTATAAGACCTTATATTTATATTAAGACCTGACAAGTAAAAATGAAAAAGAATATATATCTCTGCACTTTCATTTTAGCATCAGTTTGTCTTCATGGATATTGATATAGCAGGAGAAGCAGTGGGGAGGTTGTTGTTTGAGGTGAGATAACACTGACACATGAAGTACTGGATCCACATTCATGTATTTTCACATTTTTTACTACCGGCTTCATCTCACCCCTGTGACTTTTCAAACCGGCCTTTATGTTAAGAGGTGACTGATGTTTTCAAGACACATTGTCTTCCCTCCTCCTCAGCTGTTCTCAGATGTTTGTCCAAAGACATCAAAGAACTTTGAAGCTCTGTGCACAGGAGAGCAAGGATTGTCACAGAGCGGCTTCCCACTCTGCTACAAGGGCTCTCTATTTCATCGGGTAGTGCCCAATGGGTGGGTGCAAGGCGGAGGTACTGTATAGTCCACACCAGTTCTGTAACAATGTTAATGTTAATTTATTTAGTTTCAAATACAAATATAATACAGTTAGTATAGAAATACAGCCCATCCAATTTGAGTGTCAATGCAGTTGATTTAATCTTTCTGGATATACAGTACTTTTCCATACAGTATATGCCGCTTGTAGAGATGAGAGATATGTCAAGATATTATCAGCAGTGTGATTTGAGATACGAATGGGATTGTATTGATCGTTATAATTGTTTTAAATGTTATCTCTTGTGTTGCTCTTAAGGGCTGTATTGCAGTTTACTTACATAATCTTCTAGTTTATCTGACTGTTCTGTTGTGAAATAAACAGCAATAAAAGTGAAATAAACATTGAACACCTCTTGCTTCCTAGCTTTTCCTCAAAGAGTATACAGACCCAGCCCTTGTTTATATTATAAAAATACCTAAAGTCATCCACAAAGTATGTCAAAAATGTCTTGATATTTTTGTTTTGCAGTATCACTGTATGACCACATACTGTAAACAACTACTGTATCTTTCAATTTCGCAGATATTTCTCCTGAAAGTAAAGGTAATGGAGGCGAATCAATCTATGGACCAACATTTGAAGGTAAAAATATAGAAAACAATCGAAGACATCTACAATATTACCATGAGAACACACTGTTCGTATGAACATTTGTGGATTTACTTGTGCTATCTCTAAATTCATCTGAATGTGTGTCCTCCATGTTCTCCATTCAGATGAGAGTTTTGCTGTCTCCCACTCAAAGCGGGGGACTCTAGGAATGGCCAGTAAGGGTCCCCACAGCAACGGATCCCAGTTTTACATCACCCTGCAGCCAACACTCTGGATGGACAGGACCTATGTCGCCTTTGGGTTTGTATAACATACAGTAATTTGCCAAGTCTGTATAATCTTGCATTTGTCAAACAGTTTTGCTCAAGTTTAGTGTCTTTATTTTTCATTCTAGACAAGTGGTTGAAGGTGTTGATGTCCTCAAGAGATTGGAAGAGGCCCAAACTTGCAATGAAAGACCCAAATATGAATGTAAAGTTACAGATTGTGGAGTAATAAAGCTATAGCTCTATATGACTCAGATAAAATAAGTTTTGTGTTTTTGTCTACTAGCATTCTTCAGGAGTGCTACATCAATTAATCTGTGTGTGATATTATTATACTTTAATAAAGGTTTCTTTGTATTTTTGAACGATACATTTAATGTGTTTATTCACAAAATACTTACAATAAGAACCAACATTATAATATCCGCTAATGATATTCTATAATGAGTAGCAGGCCAGGGTAAACCTGTCCAGATACTGAGATGCAAGCACAATGCTGAAAATAAGGTGGGAGGAACTGAAAATATTTGTCTTACATAACTATGTAATGTACTGCTGGGCAACTCAGGTTTCTTCCCTTTCACACTAACGAGTACATTTGAATATGAATTTCAGAGAGAGGTGCACTGATAGATCAAGCAGCTCAAAGTTCATGGCTAAATACAATTTTAGCTGTCCAAAATGAAACAAGAGGCACTTGGATTGCATTATGCCCCACCATGATCTTCATGACAAAGCAACACATATGCTCACATTACTGGTAGTTCGTTATCAGGAATGCTAACAGAAATAAAAACAACAGCAGCATACCAATACCAATACCAAACTGTTTCCTCCCAGTTAAGCCAACTAGCTCATTAATTAGCAATGATTTATTATACCAACATTTTTGTCTTTGCATGCTACCTTGTGTCAATTTGAACTTGTTAGTTTAAAATGTTATGGAATTACAGCAATTTCTTATTATATGCAAATGAATATGGAAAGGTGCTCCAAAATCTAGCTGGGTAATCTACTCCATATGGAGTATCTGTGATGTAAGTATGAGGTTTCATCTATCTATCATTCTTAATTTCAGTTATTGTGCAGAGTCACAGCTGCCAGCATGACAACATAATGTGTTGCACACCACCATGGTGGCAAGACATGATTATGATCTACGACTGCTACTCAGAATGATGTCAGTAAACGGTAAATTAAATCTGCTGTGTAGAAGAGCTTTGTATCTGCACCTGTATCTGTTTTTGAAGTCACAGAGATCGAGCCTGTTATTCACACTGAACTGCCATTAAATAATTTATTCTGTACACAGGAGGCTCCTGGCATTGGTTTACTTGATATTCTGAAAATTTTTGTATCTCATGAAATCATTTGGGGTAGATTGGAAGTGTGTGTGTGTGTTTGGATGGGAAGTGTGTGTGTGTGTGTGTGTGTGTGTGTGTGTGTGTTCATAAGGGGTGACCTGGGGCCCTGTAACGGCTCAATCCGCCCATGTTTGTGAGAGGTTATTTTTAGCATATCAATATTCAGTGTTTTGCGTCACAGGTGTACTTTCGATTGGGCATGATTGAGTAAACAATCAGAATTAAAAAACTTATCAGGTTAGTTAATGACAAAATTACCCCCCCCGCCCCCCCCCATCTTGCCTTTTGACGTGTTCGTAGCTCACGTCCTCTTCACGTTTCTCACCCCTCCCAGTAAAAAGTGCCACATGACCTGTCAAGTAGGAAGTGGCGAGCTAGCGAGCAGCAGCAGCAGCAGCAGCAGCAGCCAGCGACCAGCGACCAGAGACCAGAGACGCAAGACGGGGAGGAAACTGTGAAATCTCCGAAGTGTCGTACTCGACGTTTCTCTTTAAATACGTTTCCCCAGTTGAACAGAGAAGAGCAATAAGCTGACCGCAGTCATGTACCTGAAGGTGGTGTTTTTCGCTGTAGTTGTGGCTCTCATTGGCGCATCAGCCGCATCAGACTCAGGTAAGTTTGCGACCTCTCAGCGCCGAGCTAGCGGCTAGCTACGGCCGGCCGGGTCCCTCCTTAGCTCGGTTAAGACACCTCCGAGTAAACAGATCTGAACCTGTCTGTATTGTATGCCTCCATTTTCAGCCACTGCAGGGGCCATTAGATATCTCGCTTCTTAGTTTGACAGTTGTCACCTAGCCTTATTCAGGTTTACATAAAAGATAAAATATGTCCCTTTTGGCAACTTGTCAGTTTTATTTCCACGCTGGCCAGTGCCACTCAAGTTGTAGGTAAGAGTTAACGCTTTAGCCTGCTAGCAAGCTGTGTGACCTGACATTTAACTTAAATTATGTAACTGCAATATCTGTGTCATTATGTGGATTGTGGGAGTAGCAACAAGCCCAGATCCAGTTGATCAGGTACCAGGGACCAGAACAGCTTGTTATGTAACAGCCTTACATGACAAACGCCTTTGCGCCTCTGTTGTGCCACATTTTAAAATTCGTTACGTTGTACTGCCCTGCTATGTTTGCTTTGTGATTTAAGATTTAAGATTGTTTTTGTTGGTTATACCCATTTTTCAGCAACAGCATTTATAGCCACCCCTTGAACGCTACAGTTTCATTTTCTCCCACATGTGGGAAGTTACCTTTTATTTACAACCACTGTAACTAAATCTGATTCATGACTTCTCTGCAGATGGATGTTCCGGCCTGTCATGTGCTTCATGTACAGCCAATAGTGCCTGCGCCTGGGTCAATTGCACATGTGAGTATCTATCGTAAATGTGTGGTAGGTTGTGGTCCGAGACGCACAGGTTGGTCTTTGTGTGTCCTAAATTGTCCAGACAGCTGAGCTGATTGGACTCATGATTCCTGGGTATGGAGGGAATGTATGGCAGTGGATGCTGACTTTTAGATGATGTCATCCAAATTTCCTAAATACCCTAAGGCCCAAGCTGTACCGTAATCATCTGGCAACATTGTCTCTGGGAATCTGGATAGGCTGGTTTGGGAGTAAATTACTGGCACACGTCTGCGTAGGGTGACAGGTCGAGGTTGGGCTAAATCCTGAAGGAGATTGCATAGATTCAGTACTTTTTCTCACTACAATGGATTTGTTGTAGATAATTATTAGGGAATGGGATGCAAAGCTAGTTGTTAATGTCTTTTGGATATTTAAGTCTCCCCTCAATTGTGATTGTGGTTTTGCTGCCTTTTGCCTACATTGCCGAATCACCACTCTGTAATTTCATTATGTTAATGGAAATATCTGTCTAAACATGAGTGAATATCTCAGACTTCTGCACTGTAGAAGGGATGTGGGAAAATATACTGCGGTGGTATTTTTCATCTTAATTTGGAAGTCTGCTGGTTGTGATATAGAAATATGAACCATTCAGTAAAAAGGAGTTGCAATAACAAATAGGCATGACTGACTGTTTCCTGAGTCAACGGCTCTTCATTCACCTACCAGCTACCCCTGTGATATGTGTCTATTTTCTTTTTAGTAGGTCAGGAGAGGAGTTGGCTGTATTCATGTTGTTACCAGTGTCAGGAAAAATGGTTACAAGTTTTATGGATAAAGCAGAGATAAGTGAACATATTTAATCTTAAAATCACAGGGTTGTCACACAACTTCACTCAGCATATATTGATAAAATTGAGTGATAAACCTGTGGATCCTTGGCACACTTCTGTGTTGGGCCAAAACCTGAAGCTTGTAGGTAAAAAAAAAATAGTTCTGTGATACTGACTATATTGCCCTAGAGGGCTTTACTTCAATGTTAACCTGAGTTCAATATGTGTAGTGAGATATACACAGGTCTCTAGTGATTGTGAAGAAGATGAACCGCAGAGGAAGCGAGGGGATGTGTGGCAGGAAGCCTGCAATATGGCCATGCTTTGGAACAGAAGGAAGGAAAGGAAAGAGTGTGCAGATAGGATAGAAGAAGATTAGTTTCATGTGCCTTGTTATTCTCATAATTTATGCCTCGGGTGCAGTTCAAGACAAGGGTATACTGTGATCTTGTTGTAAATTTCAGATGTCATTAGGGTCGAAGAGTGGAAGTTAATGTAACTTGTGTAATCTTAACTGTGTTACAAGTTGATTAAGTAAATCCAAAATAAGTAAGCTAAGCTCCTACATCAGTTAACTTTAGCAACACAATCACAGGTAATGGGGAAACTCTGATTCTCTCCACAACAGGTTTGGTGAGATTTGGTGATCCCATTCCCTCTTTCAGCTTTATCTCTGAATGTTAAGTGGCCCTATGACTGTACATTACTTAATGATTTATTAAGTGGTTGAACAGGACAGGCAAGATGACAATTATTGACATGTTCTCTGACCCAAGGGAGACATACACTATATGCTCAGGAGGAAATAGCAACTCCCGCCCACAGCTCTATCAAGATCTGCTCTCGTACTGAGATCATAATCATTTGATAAGTTTCAATTTGTATAGTCTAATCTACAAGCGATTTGATCAGCAGTTATGTTTTCCACTTGTTCTGATGTTGTTTGAAATAAGGTTCCCTGAGGTTTGGCAGTTTTTTATCGTGTTTTATCTTGTTGGAAAACTTGTCTTCCTGACCCCCAAAGACTGTCAGAGCAGTTACACACCAGCACAAACAACTCACACCAACCTATCACACAGGATACAGGCAGTTACCAAAGTGCTGAACAACACTGACTGCTTACCACACACACACACACACACACACACACACATACACACACACTAAGCAAGCCTACAGCTAAAGCCTTTCACAAGCTCAAGAATGGATCACCTATTTGATATAAACTAAACAAAAGGTCAGCTCTGGTCAGTTGAGATGGCTTTGCAGAAGCACAGCATAACCACACTGCTGCAGCGAGCTAACGCCTACCACGTTGTCATTACCAGATTTATCTTTGGTTTAGGGATTTTGTGTAAACAAGCCTTTGGCATCAGAGGCACATTTCAAGGCAGCCCAACGTTTAGATGCTCAAAAACTCAACACGTGTACACGCAAGTTCTGTAGTGCCTCTAAGTACAGGATGTAGTTCTGTGACCAAGCTTGTTGAGTCCTCTTAACCCCAGAGGCTGTTTTCTGTGGTAAAATGAGCCCTTCAGTTTTTCACTCACACCTCTGGCTTGAAGCTGTGGATGTACCTCATTGTGATGATGATGTCACCAGCTTAGAAAAGGGTGAGAGCCAGTCCTACCTTTCACAGCTGCCTGCAAGATAACAGACCTCTGACCTAGTGGAGAGAGAAAAAACCCTTCCCCACACATGGCTTGACATACATAGATGGCAGTGTCAGATCACACAGAAGGTGAAAATAAGACAGCCAACACTTTCAGAATTACTTGATATTTGACGCTGCTTAATCATAGTTAGAAAGGCAGGGATTCATTCAGTTTCCAGCTATAAAAAGTTTCACTCATTGAGTTTAAAATGCATGAGGCTATTGATTATATGTGCTCACTTCCCTTCCTGGTCATTTACACCTGCTGAATCATATAATGTAGCAGGATGAACAGTCTGGGACATGGTGAAAATGTACATAAAAATAGGGAGAAGCTGTAAGAATAGCTACCAAACACCACAAACCCCTGGCCTTAATAATAACCACATAACTGAACTAACAGCTGTCTCAACCAAAAGTTTGCACCAGGAGCTCCAAAAACTAATAATTATGACCCAACAGCCATTTGGTAGTTGTTTGTATCCAAGGGCAGTACACAAAGGAGCATAACTTTTGATACAAGGACCATAAAATATATTCCTGTGTGCGTAGCCTTACTGTTAAAGTTGGTTGTTGTTGACTGGTGTCCCTGTAATTTATGGGCAGCCATCTGGTCGGTGTCATTAGGTGTGGCTGCTCTGGATTATTGTACAACAAGCACGGAAGGTGTAGGAAGGCATTTTACAGCGCCAGGTGCACCACGAGTGGACTTAGTTCCCTTTATGATGTTCCCGTATTTGAGATGATAATGCCCCCATATGCTCATATAAACAAATTTAAGAGATTTTATTGACACAAAGAAGAGGTCAAAGGCCTTTAAAGGCCTCCCCTCTCACTATATTGAACCATTATTGAAGCTTTACGGGAAATGTATTTTTCACGTTAGATGTTTGGTTTAACGGCCTGTAAAACAGCATTCCAGAGAGGTCTGAGACAAGTGAAGGCCAAGTGTGGCCATGCTGAATATTTGTACACTGTTACTGTTTTCTCATGAACTAGTAATTACTGTGTCAACGTCCAGTAAATTCCAAGCTGGATTCTGATAAATTAAAGCTTTGTTCAGCTGTAGTAAGGTTTTCACAGCATTATGGTTATAAACATAATGGGGCTCCAACTAATGTTTTTTTTTTATTGTGAAAAAATCAGGCTTTTCTTTTTTTCTTTTTTTTTTTAAATAACATCTGAAAGTAGTGAAAATCTCAATCTGACACAAATGGTGCAAAACTCAAGGATATTCAATTTGCTGTAATTTATGACAAAAAAATCCTAACATCTGAGAAGCAGAAACCAGCAATGTTTTGCTTAACAGATGACTGAAAGAATTACTTAATTATCAAAAAAAGGTCACCCATTGATTTTCTGTTGATCCATAATTCAAACAATTTCACCCACTTTTGGAATTCCACTTACACACAGTCTGAAAAACCCTGTTTAGCTCCTTTTTTTTCACATGAAGGAAGTTTGAAACAAATGTGCCCAATTTATGAAAATATTGTATTGTAAATAAGTATCTGAGCAATGCGGAGGTTTGTACCGAAGATTGCAATAAACTCCGCTGACAGTTAAGCTTGTACAACAGCAGTGAATCTAACTGGGAGGGAAACGAATCTATAGTCACAAGGTGTTGACAGTCATGACTCAATCGCTCCTCGCTGCGACACCGGCTGAGTTGTTTCTTTTAAAGAAACTGACAGAAATGGATGGACATTTCATCTTGTTATTGTTAGTTATTTCTGTAAATTACTAAAATTTTGTTTCTTAGAGAAATGAAAAAAAAAAACTAAATCATTACCGTGTCTGTATCTTGACTTGGTATGAAACTTAGTATGACTTAGTAAGTATTTGGGACAGACAAGACTCCATGGCAGGGCAAAGTCCCTTCCTGTCATTGGTTAATTAGTAGTCAGATTATACAATAAAGCAGGATACACCTAGATGATCAAACTATGACTCAGCAGACTGAATGCAGAAAGTAAAATGTCTTTAGTTTTAAGCAGGAGTGTAAAGTAACATTTACACAGTATTTTCAGTATTGACAGTATTTTTTTTATTTTAGGCTACTTCATACTGAGGCACTGCTTCTATGGGAGATTCATTTATTTGACATTTTGACTTACTTGCTACATTGCAGGTAAACATTTTAGTACAAAATATTTTATTAGTTTATAAAATATAGTGAGTTGATTAAATTGCCATACACTGTATAAAGAAGTTAAAATGAAATTTATCTCAGCCAGCTTACATGTTTATACATTAGTAATCCTATAGTAATATGGCTATGACGGAGGCCCCTTTAGAAGATAATGCCCTGTGTCCTTTAGTTAGATATTTTGAATACAGGTTTTCTACATGTAGTTGATTACATTGTATTAAAGCTCATTTTACTCAAGGAAGTGATCTGAATACTTCCTCCACCACTGGTGGTAAAAAAAAAAAAAAAAAATGCATACAAAACAGGTCTCACACATGCCCGACTCCAAATAATCAAGTGGTATGATAGGTTCAGCGGGATGGACGGATGGATGTCAACCTGTGTGAGGAACAGTCTGACATTTCGGTAGAGGAGATGAGGAAATGGGATTGCTTCACTGCTTATAATGTTGCTTAACAATTTGTATGCACAGAATAATTGAGAAATCATTAGATGGAGCTGCGTGCTCTATGTGAATGTAAAAAATGGAACATTGTGAAATTATGCAAAATCTTGAGACCATTATGTTTTGGACACAGTGATGATAGTGAGTATTTGGCTTCTTCTGTGTGAGCTGTATAATGAAGGTCTTATGACACTTGAGTGAGATAAATAACTACCGCCCAGTTGTCAGCTAAGATGAACAGGATTGAATTTAAATTGATAAAATAAAGTGCTTTTGCTCTTGCTAATATAAGACGCTGAAATTAAGTTTAAAACATGAATCACATTGAGAATGTAATTTCATTTATTTTTAATTAATTTTTTTTTTTTTTATGTTATGCTACATTCTGTTATTTCTGTGAATAACCTGCGTGTCTGTCTATGTATAAAGTGTATATGTTTATTTTTATACACAGGTCTCTCTTGAAAAAGAGATCCTGATCTCAATGAGACTACCTATTTAAACAAAAAATTCATGAAACTTTTGTATGTTTCAGCATCTTTTGGCTGTTACAACATGACTCTTCAGGCAGGAAACGACTCTTGCATCAACACTACCTGCTCAGGTAAGTCTAACGGCATAGTGGCCTAAATATCAAGGTGGGAAAGTAACATTTTATGTTCTTTTTAGGCTCCAAGAGAATCAGCAGACTTCATATTGTGTACAAAAAGCACATTTCTCCTTGTTTAGGAGTATGAATTTTCTGCAGATTCAGTTTGTCTCTAGCTATGTTTTAACTAAAGTGTCCAGTCTCAGCACTGTGGGTCTGTCTCTCAGCTGTCTTCTTTGTTTGTGTCTAAAAGACTTGGCCAGGCATTACAATATTTTCACCTGCCCAAGAGAAATAATGAGGGGGCGCTGTGTCTTGTCCGTACATAACCTTGTTGTTCGGGGGGTGTCTCTTGCTTTCCCCCTTACACCCTGTCTTCGTGTTGGCTCCCTGTCCAGCTTCTCCAACTACAACAGCCGAGATTACAACTGCCTCTGCACCTATGACTACTTCCCATACTCCTGCAACCCCCACTTCCCATGCTGCCTCCACTGCCTCTAACAGCAGCAGCAGCGCTCAGCCCACCACAGGTAACCAGTCCCTAAAAACCTCTGCGACTCCCTGCTGTAGTCTGTGTTGCCCAGTATACAGGGTTTCAAGTGATCTTGTAAGTTATGATCCTAAAGATTTTTATGAAATCATTACACCATTGATACTTTGTGCAATAACCTCTATATATACTAGTTATTTCAGTTAGTGGAAACGATGCAGTTTTTCCTATTGCTGCTGCTTCAAATTAAAAGTGTTCAACAGGCAAAACACAGGGTGGCATTTATTGTGATGCGGTTACAGGTAACACAATGTATTTGTCACCAGGAATAGTGCTGAGGTGCATTTGGCGTCCATCAAAAATGTGTATATAATACAATACAACAGCAATTTTGTCAGCAGATCTTTTTTACTTTTGGCAAGGGAGAAATGGAACGAGAAGGAGCAGCCACAGTGAGTTATTTGAAGAGTTATGTTTGAGTCACAGGCAACAGGCTGCACATCTCCAACTCCAACTTTACCATGTCCTGCTGTTGTAAGGAAAAGTACTAGTGCCATGTGCAGCCTAAAATCAGATTCTGGTGGCAGCTTTTATTGACTTCTGTATTAATACAACATCCATTTCTTTGGCCGCATCATAAATAGATTTACCAGTTGCTCCTCTGTTGTTTTTCTGACAAACTTCAGTGTTTGCTGTTTTATTAAACCACAGTTGCTGTTACGTCTGTAACCACGGGTGTCGCCAAATCAACCAGGAATATAATCTTGCGGATTATAATTTGAAACAAGTCAAATAAATTTACTGGTGTAAAGGCTAATGTATGTGTTCTTACTGTGACCCTACTACAGTCAACTCAACCATCATTACCCCCACTCAGACTAGTAACACCTCCGCCGCTTCTTCCACTGCTACAAGTAAGTCGCACATTGGGATAGAGCAAGAAAGTTTTTAAATCTTAGATAAACAGTAACTTCATTCTTCTTTGCTCTGTTTCGTCACAGCTGGAACCAGCACAAGCACCCCACCAATTGCCCCAACTCCTGCCCCTCACAAGAACTCAACCTTTGACGCTGCAAGCTTCATTGGTGGAATAGTGCTGGTTCTGGGCCTGCAGGCTGTGATCTTCTTCCTCTACAAATTCTGCAAGTCCAAGGACCGCAACTACCACACCCTTTGAAGCAGCATCTCTGTTGGATCCACATCACTCGACCCGTCCCCACCAACTAGAACCTTCCAGAGAAGACTTCCTCACTCAACACGCACTCATCACGACAAACTCAAACAGTGTTTTCAAGCAGGTTTTTAAAAAAAATTTTTTTTTTGATGTCTGTGCCACCTGCGGCCGGCATTAGTGCTGTAGTTGTAGTCTGAATTTAAGGCACCCACGCATGCCTGTATGTGTGCACATCGCACCAACTTGTAAAATGAAACAAATCTCTAGTGATATGTCATTTAAGCCTTGAGCATATGGATTACATCATCTGGTAGCTACTCCCACCTCCATCATGCTGTTAGGCATAGCTCCAAAACCATTTTCCAGGGAATTGAGGGGGCTGGTGTTATTTACAGCCCCTCTCCTCACCACATGAAAGTCAAAGAATTAGTCGTGTATACAGAGTAGCTTTCATATGAAGCTTGGGAGTAGTACAGCTGCAAAGTGGTTGCATTTACAGCATTTACAGCATTTCTTTTTTTTTTTTTTTTTTTTTAATCTTGATTTGGAAACACTGTTTGAGTTAACAGCTATTCTCAAATGTGACGATTGTGATGATTCAGTATTGCTTTTAGCCTGCTGAATCGTGGGCAGGTCCCCCCCCCCCCATGCAGCTGTATTGTGTGTATGTGTTCATAGATGATGTAAAAGAGGCGAGGTTATTTGCGAGGGAATAAAAGCAACACCCAATCATCTAATGTCAGGCCCAAAAAATAGCAGTCATTCGGGTAAACAGTCTTATTTTGATGGGTGCCTCCCTCGGCATTTAGGAGAGTGCTGTGTGTTTTCTGATGTTGAATTCCCTGGGGAAACCTATTGCCGAATACGAGTTGTTAAAAAAAAAAAAAAAAAAAAAAAAAAAAAGTCAAACACCGACTGCTAGTTGAGCAGCTCAATGCAATAAATCATGTATTAAGTTCATTTCCCAACCATTAATCTCCGAACTGCTATTTCTGAGCTTTACTGACATCAAATATTACCCACACAGATTGCTAATGTGGAGCTGTCCCTTCCTTTCTGTGGAGTAGTCAAAAAGGGTGAAAATGAACGATTGTAGAATATTTCAGAAATATGAATAATTCATTTGTTTAAATAATTTATAAAAAAAAAAAGAGAATGGGGAGACAAAGAAAATGGCATGCACCTTTCGTGATGTGGACAGTGATAGCAGTGAAGTGCCTTTAATGTCCAGTATGACGTAAAGAGAGAAATGGAAGAGGATTAGTTCTTTCTTCCTGGTTGAGGCCCTGAGTGTTGTCATTAGCGTATGTTTGCGAGACAGAAACCGTATCGCGGTGCTGATATTGGTGGACAGTGAGATCCGTAGTAATCCAGCTGGACTGAAGAGCCTTTCATTGTTGAAAAATACGGTAAATAGTTGTCACTTGAGGGCCTTGATCAGTCCGGATTGAAGTTTTTCCCTATAAGTAGAGGACTATATTCAGACCATGAAACCTATGGTCTTCTCACTGGCGACCTTGTATAAATAGGTAGTTTAAAGGTACTCTCCTTTTTGTAGCTCCTAATACAGCTTCCAAATGTCCTCCCGTCTCACCTCACTATATATGTTTCAGAACTCAGTTGTAAAATGTGTTTAATTTTAAAACGTGAACAATGAGCTGGCAGGAAATTTCAGACCGCTGTTAGGTGCTATAAATCCGGTAGTGTACCTTGAATGGCAAACATATTGGGCTTAATTTAAAAACTTGAGTACTGGAGAGTGCATTGAGGTTCAAAATGTTGACTGTTTTGAGTGCTGGTTTGTTCGAATGAGCATTGCACCTCTGATTTTGCCGTGTACATGAGAAGATTGCGAATAGAGTGCAGAATTGCAACAACTACGTGGCCATGCTAGAGTTCATTGTCAAGTTCTCTAATTAGCTTGCTGCTAACTGTGTGATTTAGTTTTTCTTTTAGTTTTTTTATTTGTCACTCCTGTACATAGCCACATCCTGTTTGTGTTTATCTTCTTGGTTTCAACTTGAGGAAAGGCTAAATGAAGGAGTGTTTATCAGAACATTTTTGCTTGTAGCAGCTTGTCAGTGTCAAGAATGTTTTGTTTAAATGCCTTTTTTTTTTTTTTTGTCATTATTGCATGCTGGATGCTTGGAGTTGTGATTTTTCCTCCCATTGCATATGCTCTTAAGGGTTTAGACACACTTAAAACCACTTGATTAGTTGTGATTAGCCCATATGCTAGTTGAAAGAATGCCTTGAAACAGTGTGCATTAAGCCAAAGTCCTCAGTTTTGGCATGGAAATTGAGCATTGCACTGACAAGCTTTGTTTTGTAACTTTGTCTTTGTAAATGTTTTAATGGTTTCAGCCAAAAAAAAAAGAAGAAACAAATCTGATGCTTGTATAAACACTCTTGAATATTAACTAGATAATGGATGAATAATCACTTTGTTTTGTATGACCACCAACAGTTAGAAACTCATGAGTGCAGATGTTTGCTTGTTTTTTTCCTGTTTGTTTTGGCTTGTGTAATTTAGGATTACATGTTTTCTGCTGCTCACCATCAACACGCCTTTTAACCTACAGTCACCTGGTGGCATTAGGCTACAGCCCAAAGACCCGAGTATGGCGAGTAGGCTACAGAGTTTTGCCTTAGCTGCACCCATTTGTTCATTCTCTGCATGAGGAGTCCCTTCACCCCAAATTTAGAGACGTATTTGAGTTTAATTCACAGCTGTTGACTGGTACGCTGTGTACCCACTGAATCTAGTCAGTCAGAGTGCTCTCTGCTTTCGACATGGAAGCTGCATTCCTTAACAACACAGCATCACATGTTGACATCGTGGTGTGTCAAAACACGTCTGGTATCCGTTTATACCAATAGATGTCCATTGTGTTGCCTCTCTGCAGCTTCTCCAACAAGTTACTCAGTCCCTGCACCTCTTAAGGAAAAGTGCCTTATTCAGTTAATATTCATATATAGTTGTAGTTTGTAAGATGATATGCCACACCTATTAAATATCGATGGGACTCAGCACTTTCAGACCCCTGTGAAGTGGTTTTCTGTGTTGTATTCTGCTTAAATGTCTGTTTTGTCACGCTCAGCCTTAACTTTTTGATCAAATCCACAGAGCAATTGCTGGTGACAGGCTGTCTGGGCAATTATCAGGCTGCTTTTGTTTGATAAGTGAAAAATTGTTAGATGTACTCGGAATACTTAGGGCTGCTTTTCAGCTGCATTTAATTACCTACATTTTGACCAGTTACACATTTGAATTACGGGTGTTATGTGTAAATGCTGGTAGGTTGATATGAGCAGCTATTGTTTGGCACAGATCTTCAACTACATCTGGCCTGGCCATAGCTTGGACACCTCGTCGCTAGCCTATTGCGATAAAATAACTCATTGGTAACGTATCCGCAGCCACACACCTCTAGGGTTCTTTACTGCATCATTTCCTCCGTAATGCAAACAGTCACACTATAACTTGAACTCCACTTTGGTTGTAATTTTCAGCTGTTGCATTGAATGACTTGTTTTTTTTCTCCTGCAGGATTTTAAATTCAAAATCCAAATTTGCTTGGTCATGGAGGACTCTCCTATCAGTTTTCAGCCTTGTAGTGTTCGGTTCCAAGAGCGATGAGTAAAGAGCTTTTTGATTCCATTCTTTTGCCTTGTGGCTTTATTGCTATGCGCACACATTGTAGTGCCATACTTCTACCAGTTGTGTTACAGGCCGTCAGTCTTGTAGGTACAAGTTTTTGGCTTTGCTCTCACCCCACATTAACACACACACACTACACACACATAGACCACACACACACTACACACACATAGACCACACACACACACACACACACACACACACACACACACACACACACACACACACACCCATATGTAGACACTTGCAGGTGCCACAATGCCTCCTGAAATGTTTTGTGCTTATTTTGTGCCCTTCTTTTCCAAACTGTTTATTTTTTTTTTTTGCCTTGTTTTCTAGTGTTGNCACATAGCCCCCACACACACTACACACACACATACCACACACACACACACACACACACACACACACACACACACACACACACACACACACACACACACACCCATATGTAGACACTTGCAGGTGCCACAATGCCTCCTGAAATGTTTTGTGCTTATTTTGTGCCCTTCTTTTCCAAACTGTTTATTTTTTTTTTTTGCCTTGTTTTCTAGTGTTGCCTTTAGTTTCACAATGTTAAACCAATAAAGTTTGAATATTGTTAAACATTTCTCTGTCTTTACCTTTCATTTGTCAGCAGTGTCTACTTTCTTGGGACTGGTAATTTACATGACAAATCACAAGTGGGACAATTTGAGACACGGCCAGGTCTCGGTGTGAGGCTCCATTGCCATGGTTACAATTGAAAGGCCAGTTGCCTGGACAACAGAAGGTATCAAGTTCAGGCTTTGCTTTGTCTTGCCCTGTGTGTGTACCTAATGCTAGGTCAACAAGTTTTTCTGTTAAAAAAATAAATAAATTGACAATCAAATCATACTCACAGTAGCCTATCTTATAGTATCTAGACATTTAGCTATCCCCCAAATTCAGCAGTCTTTACCTAGGACACTTTGAATTAACAATAAATACACTTATATGTGTCTTTTGATACCTTCAGACAGAACCGGGCTAAATGTTTCCAGACTTAATGCTAATGCTAAGCTAAGTCCTGAATTGAAAAGGTAATGCGTTCAATGTAGAGGAATGGCCCCTGTAACTGTTATACTATTATAGTAGTATATCATTAGGTTATCATTACTTATGTATTGATGTGTCAGCAGCATTTTACTCTTGTAGTTTTTCTTTGCAGCATTTTTTTATATAGGGCTGGAACCATATTTATTTTCTGGAATAATCTGCTGATTTGCTGAAAATGATCACTTGAGTTTTACCTTCGCGTCAGCTTCTCATGCTCATGGCTGTGTCTAAGCATGTTGTGCAATATGCTTGGAGTCTCCTGAGAAAAGCTCTAATATAATTTACAGGCATAACCAGATTCCTATTGACATACTTTTCTGATTTTGTAAATGCAGGATTCACCCTACCCCATCAATTCCCTCCATCCCCATGATCTGCCTGAACATAGTGTAGTGGTTCCCAACCTTGGTTTAAGGCCTTTCATGTGTTTCCAAGGTTAATCTGAGGGGCCATCAGATGATTACAGTGATAAAACAGAAAAAAAAACTTTTTGCTTGTTTTTGCTTCTTTTCTTGTGAAATACCTGATAAGTTTTCCTCTTTAGGCCTCATTTATATGGTTGCTCCTTTTACAGAAGTCTACATTACCCTGTTTGTAATTAAGTCTCATTGGTGGACTAACTCTAGAACTGGTGTTCACTTTACTGCACACATCACTTAAAGCGTTACCTTGATATTTACTTTTTTCTATGTAAGATAGAGGTCAACATGCTTTTGAAAAGGAAAGTGGTACAAAGTTTATTGCAGCCATGTGCAAACATCAATGACATGGACATTATTTGCTGGTATGTACCATTAACAGACAAACTGGGGACAATGAGACCTAAAGCTAAAGACACCACCCCTTGTTTTTCTCACTCTTGAGTGTTCACTGTGCTGTGCCCCTGACCGGACAAATGGTTGGTTTCCAAGGTCACAGCAAAATTCTGCTTGTGTTGCAAAAACAAATCGCTCTAAAGGAAATGTTAGTGAGCATGTGTATCTGCATGCGCTCACTCAAGAATCACAGTCTGCACAGTTGACTACATTCTTGAGTGAGGTGTGTGTGCGTACAGTATTTGTTTGTGCTGAGCAGATTGTTATTCTTCCAGTGGCCCAGAGTCCCCAGCTGGCACTGTTTCCCTGAACCAAGAGGAGTTTCAGGAGAGAATGTTTTTCTGGACAGCCGCGCCACAATTTCTCTCTCATGTGTCCATTAAAAACAATCTGCAGCTCTGCACTCACTCTTTGCCGTTAATGGACAGAGATGGCAAACCTTGTAATGCTATATCCCTTATAGCACTTTCACTAAGAAGTGGAAAACTCTACAGCAAGCCAACTTTTCAGTGACCAGTAAACTTGTGTTCACACACTGAGGATGCGTAACACCTCAAAGAAACGCCTTGTGGACAAATACACTCTGCAAACATATCTTTATCTTTATAAGAGGATGGATCAGGAGCTGTTTGTAGGCAATCCCCACACACACCCACAGCAAAATGCCTGACACACACTCGTACCTACCCAGTCCTTCTCCATACACTGCTCTCTGAACACACCACTGCTATTCAACAGAAGACAAAAACAGGGGCGTGCAGTCACAAGGTATCAGCGTTGCACGGTCAGGAGAGCAGACAGGAGTGGCTGGAGCTGTTGTATATGTGGGCATGGAAGGGTCTTGACTTGCCTCAGCTAACCTGATTGCTGTGTCCAGTCTTGCTCTGTAATCTAATATGGGAGCACAGAGAAACAATGCATTAGGTTTAGTGTCTCTCTCATACACCAGCTCAGTCCATTTAACCATCCAGTGAACTCTGAATCATGCCAAGAATACCAGAACTGAGCAATGTTCGCCGGATAATGAACTGAAAAGGCTGAATGGAGAGAGAAACAATAACAACCAGCTGTTCTCCTCTCCCATGACCCAGAGCCTTTGACAGGGCAGTAAGTGATATCCACTGTTTTAATTTTAGGATTTTATATCAACAATTTGTGACTAAACAACCCTTGTAGAGTTGGCTGTACAGTTTTTTTGTTTGTGGTATGAGGAGTGACTGAGATAAGATTTAAGGTCAAAAAGGCCTCTTGTGTTTCAAAAATGTGACCTGATGATACAATAAAGATGTTGACTGAGGCCTGATAGTGAAGAGATAATGCAGGAATGTTATGAGGCAGCTTCACATGTGGTTATTCATCCTGTAAAAAAGGTGGCTGACTCAAATAAACAGAGAGCAAATATAAAAGCCTCAGCAATGCCAGAAATGTGTCCTGTCCTCTGACCAGCCCGTAATTAAGATTGATAATAGCTATCAAAGTTGAATTTAAGAGAATAGAGCTGTTTTGGCTGTGTGAAATTGTGAAATCCCGTGGCAAATAGCAGTTCCTCCCACTTTTGGACAGCAATAAAAACCACATCCCTTTGTCCTGTGGTTAGAGCTACATTTACTCAGCTGTCCAGGCAGCTGCTGTTGTAGAGTTCACAGAGCACTTGGTGCATCTCTATTGTAGGCTGCTCAAGACAGAGGGAGCTTGATGCTGCATGCAGTATTATAAAGTTATATTTCACGATTGTCCATGCAAATGTATAGTGTGTCAGGGGTAAAATAGACATAGGCTGAGCACTGCCACCTAGTGGTTCTCAGTATGAAATCCAAATGATGCTAAATTAGACAAAAACTTGTGTTGGCGTCAGTAAAATGTGAATAAAGATGTATTTACATTATGTAGAGGGAATAAACTTTATTAAAAATTGAAAATATTAAAAATAGATTACTCCAGCTTCATTTGAGAGGAGACATACTTCATGAAACACACTTAAGTCACATAATTTTTTGGACTGGTTTAAGTCATAGTTTATCTATCGTCTGCCTATGAAGGACCCTGTATGTGCAACATTTCATTTAAATCCATCACCCATTGCTTAACAGGTTTTATGATCAACACATTATCACGGTCTGTGTAAAACACTTTATTCCCTCTTTTCATTTGTTACTAAAAATGGCCCAAAGGCTGTTTAAAGAGAGGGAAAAACAAACTGAAAGGAACCAAGCGGAGTCTTGTGGCTCATCCAGCTGTCAGATCAAAGCCTGCGCACAGAATGGTCTTGCAGAGAACCTCATGTTTCCCAGGAGAGATCGTCTTGTTTGAGGCTGTTTCTGAACTTCTGAGTCTCCCGGAGAAGCTGCAGGTTATTGTGAGTGGTCCCACCTTTCCTTCCCTTCTGCTTGGCCTTAACAAGAGAAGGGACAGGTGGCTTGATCCCACTCAACTTCTTGGTTGTGTCTTCCTCAGCACCTGGCTGACTCTGCGTCAATTTATGGACCTGCACAGGAGCAGAAGACAGAAGACAGAACACATCAGACACCTACACCTATCAGCACAATTAGGGATGAAAATCATCTGACACAGGACGTACCTGGCATACAACATTCCCTTTATGACACGAGGAATTGTACCATTGACCATCTTTATGTATTGAGTTGTGGCTCACTTACTGTCTGCTGGTGTTTGCGGAGCTTAGTGATATGAACTCCCTTCTCTTCCATCCTGGCCACCAGCCTCTCCAGTTCTCTCTGCAGGTCCTGCTTCTGCTCCCGATGTGGGGCTGCATCGATCTGACGCACCAACTCCTGATGCTCACTGACAAAAACAACAGAACGAAATACAGAAATGCAGACACATATTATTAAATGTGAAAAGAAAAACTTCAACAAAACAATTTTAAAAAAAGAAGCGTACTCACAAGCTCATCTGTCCCAGCTCGTCCTGCAGAGCCAAGAGCAGGTCTGACAGGGAGCTCAGTGACCGGTCTACTTGCTCAGGTAGGTTGTCAGGCTTCTTAAAAGCAGTGGAAGATGGAGAAAAGTCCTTTTGGAGGCTCTTCTTGGCTCCACAGCCAGGCCTGTGCAGAGAACTCACTCGTTCACATAGCTGGGGCTGGTGGTGCTTCATCATGTGAAGGATACTTTGCACGTTGGCGTGGACTGAGTGGCTCGGGCTTATCGACTGTGACAGGTGGGAAGCAATAAAAAAATCAATCAAAAAGTGAAAAAAGAATGCATGGTTTTGAGAGTTAGCGCAGAACTAACGTACCGTTCCTGCGACAAAGGGCATTTTTATGTGTCTTGGGCTGCTTGCTGATGCCAGCTCATTCTTTTTGGATGTTTTCTGAGGGAGAAGACAGCTGTTATCATGACTTTATTCCAAACAAATCTTTCCCATCAACTAAATACAAAAACATAATTAACTTCATTGGTAAGAAAATCACCTTGCTGGTCTTTTTTGTTTTCTTCTTTGGCTTTATCTCTTCAGCAGTTTGCATAGACAATTGAAGGTTGATGTCCAGCTCCCTCTGCAGCTGTGGACAATATCATGGTTAAAGGAAAAGCTCATTTCTTTTTTTTTTTCTTTTTAAGATTCTTTGTTTTACATTTTACCTCTGTGTTAGTTGACAGAGGGTTTTATGTAACTTAAATACCCACGAGAGATCATTTAGTAGAAAGTAGAAGTAATGGATTTTAATATAAAGTATATTTAAAAATTGCTTTTACGAATTTATTGTAAAATGTGTATGTTGGAGTAAGGAGAATTAAAACACAAAGTGAAAATGAGGATTCTTGCGTCACTGTGACTGACCTCATCTGCTTTCTCCTGCACAAGTTTCCGTTCATACTCTTCTTTCACTAGTTTTTGCTCCAGAATAGCAAGCTTCATCTGTACCGAAATAATGATATTATCATTCAGTTTGTGATGATTAATGTTTAGACTAATCAACCGGATAAACGTGAATTACCTCTGCCACAGTTTGGGTTCTACTCAATTTGAGACAATCTGATTCAAGTTTGTCCAGCTTCTCCCGCTGAATTTGGGTGTTTGAGCTGCTTGGCTGCTCGTTCTGCAGTGAAGCCTGGTGGGGAGGTAAACAGAGATTATAGGATAATTTAGTAACATCTATATACCACTAACAGTATATCCAGAAATGCTAGGAAGTAATGGAACACAGATGATGAAAAGGGTTAGGATCAATTGTAATTATGTGTAAGAGTTGATTCAATCTTGTTTAAAAGATTTTAAACCTGCTTTCCAGGCTACGATTTCTCTAAAATATATCCTACTTGGATCTACTTTTAAGGATAGATTTGTTATGAATTTTGTTTGTTTCAGTTTGTAGCTTTTTGAACTACCTGATTCTCCATGAGAGCATTCCTCTCCTTCTTGGCATTTTCAACCATCTTCCTCATGTAGTCCAGCTGCTTCTCAAGAACCTTACAGCGAGCCTCTGCAGACTGCAGCTTTGAGTCCAGCTCTGGTATCATAATCGTAGACACAACTGTTAAAAAACATGTAGTGAAAAGACTTTGCACTTTCACAGTGTCCAAGATAATATTTCAAGATCCCGATCAAGTGCAGTGGCATTTCTCTTTGCACCTTCTATCACTTACCTTCCCTGCTAGAGTTATTGGTCTCAGGCAGGCTGGCTGCTGATTGACTGGGCATCACGTTAGATGCTGTGACCTGCTGATGCTTCTGAATATCATGGGAGAACTGCTGGAAGCTCTTCTCTGCTTGCTTTCTTTCCAGCTCCAATCGCCTAATTTTCTCCTGGAGGGTCTTCAGTGCATCAACAACAGCTGGAGAGGAGTTGACAAGAACAGAAAAACATACAATGTAACTGGAACAGAAAGTGGCCATAACAATAACATTGCATGAGCCAAAAAAACTTGACATAATGGCCGCGCCATACCTTTGCTGTCAATATTAGGTTTGGCCTGAGACTCCCGGAGGCTGTTGATCTTTGGATCGGTGTTGATGGATGCAGGCGCAAAGAACTCAAGCTGTCTTGGTATTGGTATTATCCTGTCTGGAGGCTGGTAATAGCTCCCAATGTAACTGTTTTTGGAGGGTGAGTCTAAAATCTACAGACAGAAAAAGGTTGCTTTAGAAGCTGTTGCAACAAATTAATTGCATCGTCTACAAAATTAAAAAATATATTAATAAAATTCCAATCAATAAGTTCTCAAAGCAGTAGGTGAGATCTCCATATGGACTGTTGATTGACTATAAGTCGAATTCTTAAAGATATTCAATTTACAATAATATAAAACAGAGGAAAACAGGAAATCTTAACATCTGTAGAGCTAGAAGCAGACAAGTTCAGCATATTTCCGGGATAAACGCCTGAAATGATTGACCGATTATCAAAATTTCAGTTAGAAATTCTGAGGATCATCTAACGTTCACTGGTTACCCCACTCATCGTCTACACATTTGTACTGTACCCGAGTGCACCAGTGTTCTGCAACAAGGCTGTTCAAGTGCATCGTGAAGCTCCTAAAAGCTGCAGCAATTCCAACACCGCTAAGGTTTCATAAGAACAAAAACAAACCGGTTTATTTACGAATAGCGTTGAACTAGCTTGGAATAACCTACCAGCAAACCGCAACTTCACAAAAGTAAACAATGCCCAAGCTAATGTGTTAACCACAGTCGCAGCTAACGGCTGATTAGCAAATGTTACCTGGTCGTGATACATCTCCATTCTGTTACTAAGACGGTTATACCTGTTTGTAAACTAATCATATGTTTATATTTAATGTTCTCAGACTGCTTGTGTAAGCTGTAAACGATGTTAATGCAGCTAACTAGCTTCTCCTAGCGACTCTGTCAGCTACAAGCAGTCCGGTCTTTTTAAATTTCCCTCCTCTTCGCTGCCCTCCTCACTGTAGTTCCGCCTGCGCAGTGTTTCCTCCTCCACAATCCAGAGTTCCTCACCTTGAATACAAATGTATATGTTGGCCAGTTCTCATAAAGATGTTTACAAAAGTGATCTGTTTTGGATTAAATGCAATGGATGTTCACTGTATTTAAAATCTAAAACCTACAAATAATTTGCCTGGTTTTGTTAGAAAAGGATTGATCAATAGGCTTGCATTTATACAATTTGGGGGTTCTTAAAACAAGTTTGATAGTTACACATATTCTACACTGTTAACTTTATTTAAATAAAAAAATATGGCATTTTTGACCAAATCAAAATTGAGAAATTTCGAAACCTGGTTATTACCAGCATTTAAAGTTTAACACAATAACAGTGCGTAAATCCTACCACATCCTCAAAAATACCGTGGACAAAACCTTGTTGTCCTGAATGAACCTGAATAAATATGACATTTTAAAAAGCACTGCTCTGAAATGTGCCAGCAGGTTCCAAGACTGAACTATTTTGCATTAGGAAAATGATCACCTTGTGGTCTGCAAAATGGGAAGTTGAAATATATCATATTATGTGGAAACATTCATTTGGAGACCACTGAAATTTCTTTGGGAACTCTTCCTGTTTGATGCTATTTTTCCTGATCATTTAGGCTATTGTAGATTAGTAATGTGTCTTTAGTTAGTCAATCACCCAGTAAATATTTGCACAGTATTATGCAAATAGCCTGCTGCAGCAATAGACAGTACATCTGCTGTGAAGCAGTTGTGTTGCACTCAGTGAAAGACTGTATTTTATCTGTGAAGCTTGTTTTGGTGTTTGTGTTTCTTATGTGCATTTGTATGTGCATATTTATATATATATATATGTGTGTGTTATCTCATTTGTAACACCTTTGTCTCTCAAACAACATGGCACACCAGAATCCAAGTTCAACGTCTTTCAGATAATTTGACATGTTGAAATTCCTGTGTTCATATTATTTAATTGGCGCTGATCCTTCCTGTGTTTAACATGGAAATTTGCCAAAATACAAACGAGGCTAAACACAAAAAAACAAACGACATTTCTCTCTATGACTCTCCTTTCTGTTTTTCTGCTTGCCTGTTTCAGTTATTTCTGATAAACAAGAAAAGGGAGGGGGGCTGCTGTCGACGAAATGTATGATGGGAAATGCAGTTCTACAGCTTTACCCTCCAAAACACACACCGAACGAAGAGAATCCAACTCCCATAAACCCATCCCCCGCGAGCTTGGCAACACCCCTCTAACCAATCACTGGTCAGAATCCTAAAGGCACCGCCCTAGAATTCCCACATACTGCGTTGATTGGCCAGCCGGCTGTGCCAATCAAATGTTTACCCTCAAGTTGTTGCCTCCTGTCGCCTGTACTCTGACTGGGACTAACGTTGCTGCTCAGCGCTGTGGCAAGGCGTCCCGTTGCAGAAGACCTGCACCAAAGAATGAGGATAAAGTGAGTATTTGAGAATGACATTTTTTGCTTTTGGTGCACAGTGACAGGTTTGTGTGTGGGAATGTTGGTTTCGGCGCGGTTCTGTTGTACTTTACTGGTGTCTTTGTTAACGGGCAGCTTGACAGCCTTGACACTGAAAGAAGGCATGGAGAGATTGAAATGGACCTCACTAACTGACAAGCTTCGTATTCGTACATTTTTAATCACATGTCATTAACCGTAAATCATTGTTGGTTCATAAACGTTTGCTTAAGCAATATCACTGACAGGTTGTGGTGGTTTGTGACACAAATAAATCATATGTAGATAGGATTTTTCTTGGAAGTTGGTAATAGACCAAATACCAACGTGATGAAATTGAGAAATTACTGGTTTCCAGCATGACCTGAGTTTAAATACCAGATATGATAGAGCCTGACTGATCATGTATTTTTTTTTTTAAGTCGATACTCATATCAATAATTGAGAGTTAAGAAATGAGATAGCAAATAGCTGTATATGCCAGTATTCGCTTTTGGTTTTACTTATATGCTTAACATCTACATAATTAATACAAATTGTGTTAAATTTGTTATTGAAGGAATCTGACCAAGAAACTGAAGAAGGTTAGGTTATATAATGACATATACGTGATACAGATTTGTCTACCATCAGAGACTTCTCCATGCCATTAAAATGTGATATCATTATATGTTAGGCCATTGCAAATAAATGAGCATGCCTTCTTTGAGGCAATATTATACATTTATATGATTTTTGCATCATAGTGGGAAGGCACCATGATTTGTTGAGTGTATATTATGCTGGGTTGTTAAAAAACAGACATTTCTGTCTGGCTGTTTCATCCATCAACGGTTTGATTCGATTTGATTCTGAGGAAGTTTTACTTCATGAATATCCATAATACCATAAAAAAATTCATGCAGATAATAGAGGAGTTTATTAGCGCTAGACAAATAAATTAGTTTATTGCATATATATCAATGTCGGTATGTTGACTGATAAGTAAGAGGACATTATAATGCACAAATACCTAACTTGGTTTGAGGTCATTTAGAAACAGTGTCATCATTAAGACAAGTTACTTTTTAAAAGGTTAAATATCCCATTCATGATGTATCTTGGTCACAGTTTAAAAAAAACAAATCTAAGGGATCAGTATCAAGATTTTTTATGTTTTGTGTTAATGTTGAAAATGATTAATATCATCCAGTATATCGATTTCAAGTTTTTTTTTTAAACTCCCAAATATCAATATCAGTATCAGCCTCAAAAATCCAGTAGGGATCGGGCCACAGATTTTATTTAATGTAACCACTCCCTAATTGCCATTTCTGTAGTCTTATTTCTTGCTACTGACATACTGTATATGCTGATGCAGATATACCTGTGATGAGGTAATATTGACTCATGACATTGGCTGGCTGATTATTGGTCGAGTTCTAATTTCTAATTCCTGCAATGCTATGCAATGTTTGATACTGACTGACACAACATGCATGTACCCACCCATCCCTCCCCATTAGCATAATATTCAAAAGTTGTTTGTTGCACACACTGTGCTGCTGTGATGTAAATCTGGATTGTATCGTGTTATTTGTTGTGTAGCTTCCTGTAAGACAGCACAAACATTAAGTCCAACGTCAAAAGATGGAAGTGCAGGACCAGGAGTCTCTGGGGAGATGGGACGGGCTGGGCAGCCGGGATGCCAGCTCCAGAACTGAGGCCATGGAAAACATATGCCAGGACGTCATGAGGAAAGCGGAGGCTATTGGGCCCATAACAGCATCGGTCCCCTCGCCCCCGGCCTTGGGATGCCTTCCAAACAGTGATCTGAATGACATCCTTGCTCATCTGCTCATGCTCTCCAAACGGTGTCCCTTTGAAGATGTCAGGGCACAATGCATTCGGCTTCTAAAGGCCGTCCAGGTAGGATATTCATAATATCTACAATGAGACCCTAGTGAGCTATTTGTACCGTGCTGCACTTAGCTGCGCCATGCTGTCATATGTCCGCACATTTTAGTACTTATGGTATTGTTCTGTTGCCATCTGCTCCTCTTCACCTCCTCATAAGCATTGCAAACACTGTGGTTGAGTCAGAGCTGCGCTAAGAGCAATGCATGTTTTGTCAAGTGGATTACAGTCAATGACACGATGCGACACCATGAACTCATTAACACTTAAACATTGCAAGAGCCAAGGATTTACCAATCCAGCTCTTCAACTATATGCATGCATGCCAAAAGGAGAGAAAGTCAAGAGTTTTTATATTACTGATACACAAAAAAATACCAATATTCTCAATTAATTATACTGTAATGTCTAAAATCAAAAATCAATTCTACAAAATATCGTCTTAAGTTTAAAACCTAGAGACATGACGAATTTGATTGTCATAAAGTTTGTTGTCATAAGAGTTCATTTACATTTTTGGGCTGATAAACCTGTATTTGTTGAGAGAATTTTAGCTTAGGCCCTTTAGTAATGTAAACAATTTCCTTGCCTCTGTCTGAGCCATCTGAGATCAGAGGCACGTATACAGGACAAGGGATTCTTTTCACAACCTCACAATGATTTCTGCCAATAAAAAAGCAATGACACCGTTGATGGTATGTGGGTATTCTCAGAAACCTAAGGCGTGTTTACTGAAAATACTCAGTAACACACTCCATCATCAACATCATACCGCTATGACATAATGTTTCCAATGTAATTTTTTTTTAAGTATTTCAACATGTCTGTCTGTTCATTTATGAATTTCATTGTTGATGTGGTTGATTTGCCAAATGACAGGGGTGATAGTTCTCAGGTCAGTTATTAATTAATGTTGGGGTGTAATATTACAGGGCAGGGGGCTAGATGAATGGGGAGAAACCACATTCTGCTGACATAAACATTAAATCCTAAGTCAATGCCAGTGCTATCAGAATACCGTGCAGTTTGCAGATGTGGTGGGTTGCAATTTTGATTCAGGTCACAGCATTTGCCTGAATTAGATTTTCTATTCATGTTGTTGGCAGATCTTTCCTGAAGATCCGTAAGAAGTGGACAGAACTTCAAATAAATGTGTATTTATAGTTAATTTTTTTTGATGGTTAATGTTCACGCTCAGGCGTCTTGGATTGATTATATTTTCTCAGTTAGTTATTTGTCATTATTTACCTGTAGAGAACCAAATATTTGATTTATCCCAGCTTAGCGGCGCTAGCTGTGGCCTGGTCCACTTAATAAGTCCTTTAATAACAAACAAAAACTAAGCCGGACAACTTTTGATGGCCTGACATGTTGTTATTCTGAGGAAATAGACTGTTTGGCTGTGGCATTAATTCCTGTTTGTGCGGAAGTGTTTTTGGAAGATGGAGCAGGGCAGAGAGAGATGAGAGAGGGAGAAAGCTGCTTTGCGGGTTTAGTAGTGCACCACAGTACACACCGTCTGGTATTTTTGAATTATGCTAAGCTGCATTTGCTGAGGACTTGCCAAAGGGTGCATTTATGAGACCAATGTAGCAGCTCATGTTGTTCTGGTCCCACGGTTGAAGATTGCCCCCCCCCCGACCAGCACACACACACACCTTTCTCACGTTGTCAGAGGTGGAAGGGGCTATAAGGGAGGGGGGGCTCGGGCTCAGACAGACCTCTAATTCCAGCAGATCCGCTGATTAAAGACAAAATCTTTGAAAGCACAGACAGTCCTTTCCTTATGGCAACCCCCCTCCTCTAGAAGAGGAAGGCCTCCTGCTTGGTGAGAATAATGTCCCGTAATACCCCCGTGGCTCGCAAAGATTTGGCCTGGACCAATTTTCTGCTGGTTTGGTGGCCCAGTGTGCATATCCACAGTATATTGTGTGCATTTTATTCACTGGGTTTTTAAAAAAGGAAGAAATATCCATGGCTCTGTCTGAACAAAAATCCACCTACCAACACCTCGAAAGTTCACTAATAGTCTTGTTTGTTCATTTGTTCGTTTCCTCCATAAAAAATGAGCTGCAAAAAATGACACGCTTTGGTTTTATGGGGGGTTGGGTAGACAGTGTCAGGCGATAGCTGTTTCTCCCCGTTTCAAGTCTTGTGTTATGCTAAGCCAATAGGCTGTTGGCTGTAGCCTTATATATGGACAGATACAGGAGAAGACTGGTAAGAAAAGCAAATAAGCGTCCAACAATTCCTTTAAAACAACTGTACAGATAAGTGTTGGATATTTTATACTGGACCTCATTCATGGATGAAGGCATATCTTTTTATTTTATTTTTATTTTTTTGTGTCTGTTATTGTTCTTTTTCTAGATCAGATACCCATGTGATAAAATAAAGATTCAATAAAATCTCTCATCAGACCTTTTTTTGGTCTGTACAGTTTCCCCACTTGCCTTTTTTATGCAGTCTGAGTCGTTGTTTGTTTTTCAAGGCACCCTGTGAATATGCAGGACAAGCTGCGATCACATAACGAGAACGGGCTTGTGGGCTAGTGAGTCCCAGGGGTTAAGGGTTATGGGGTCACATCCGAAAATAGGGTTCTATATGTGAGGGGAGGGGTCAGGTTCCCATAAGGCATCCTTGTGTAGCAGTCTGTTGGGGTGAACATACAAGGGGCAAAATCGCTTACCCGTGCAAACCTGTGAGTATGCTTAACATAAGTAGACACTGGGGGTCATCCTGGGGCTTGTGAAGGCTGTTGACCTTGCTGAGCTGTATTGATCTGATACATATAGGAAAACAGGATAACCATGGGTGCAGACAAATGCAAACACACACACACACACACACACACACACACACACACACACACACACACACACACACCCACACATATATATATATGCACACAAATCAAGCGAGACAATAGTAAGTGTTTGTTCTGAGTATATGAAAGGGGTGGGCAGACTCCATCGGCCGGCTCGCTCTCCGGTCACCATGTTCCCTCACTGGATGAAAGGAGCCCAGTCTTGGGCGGTCGGACAGAGACAGAAAGGGGATTCTTTGTGTTATGTAATTACACCATTGTGTTTCGCCCCTTACGCTTACTTGAATTAAGAGCTGCTCTCAAAAGATCAACCTGTTCTTGTGACGTGGGCTGGTGCTGCTCAGATTCCAGAGATTGTGCCCACATCCACAACCTACAGGGATGAAATGATGTGGTAGAGAAGCACAGTAAATACCAAATGGACTTAGTGTCTCTGTGAATTTCACCAAGCCCAGTTCTGAGCATGTGATCAACTGACAATGTAGTCCAATCCATTTTAGGGCTGACTTTTTTTTTTTTTTTTTTTGCTACTTAGACTCGGTTTCATTAGAAAATTACATAATAGAATGTGAAGTCTTAGCCAGGAACTCGGCATCTTTGCGTCAGCTTGTTCCAAACCAAGCCTTTTTCTAATGTCCTCATGTACAATTCAGCATTGTGCTGGAGTGCATAGCCCCAGTTTGTGTCTCTTATATATTGTCATTTCATTCAAGTCACAGAGCTAAGCATCTGTTTTCTGAAAGATAAATCCCTGGTGATTTCTTTTCCCCCAAAAAACCCAGATGGTTGTTTAACAACACTTAATTCAGTTTTGAATTCATTGTCAGAATCCACAAAGATTCCTTTGTCCATCTGGATAAAAAAAGATACTCAATTTGTTGTGCAATAAAAAGATTTTTTAACCTACTGTATTTATATATAAAATCTTTTTCACTGTGCAGCAGACAGAATACATTTGGACCCAGATCTTGCAGCTTTCACTGCTGAGAAGAGTCAATTGATACATTTTTTAGATATTTTTACAAATCATAAAATTGTCAGTGAAGTGACAGTCTTAGAGTAGACTTGAGCCTACCTAGATTTCTCTGAGGAAGGCGAAGGCAATGGATGTTTCAAGCTCATGCTGCTCCTCATTTTTTTTACACGTACTTATTTAGCTAATTATGGACATTTAGGATGACTCAGCAGCCCCTGCAATAAACACTTATGTGTGATTAATTAAGTGAAATGGCTTCCTGGATCTGGCCTCCTCCCAGAATAACCCAGAACACACTTCTGTCTCTGTATGGAAAGCTTAGGAGTGTCTCCAGGCCCTCAGAAATGACACCAGATATTGATTGTAATGCTTTTTCTGGATTGATGTATTCATAGACGGTGGATAAGGTCTCTGCCACACAGGTTTTAAAGGGTGTACACTGCCTTTTAGATCTGTGTCTCATGACTGAAATATGTATTGCTGGACAGTTACGGTCATAAAACGCAAGTGCTCAAGTATATGCAGCTGTAGTACCTAGTAGGTTTGGCACGGTAGCTTGTGCAATGACTTAATTCTTGGAGATTGTGTGGAGATAATTTGCGAATGATTCGGACTTAGGTTTCTTCTTGGAAGGCTTGTTGTCCATATAAGCCTGTCTCAATGGTGGCATGCTTGTGGTGAGGCTATATAAACAAACTTGACTTGTCAACCTTGACAGACAGGAGTGTGGACAGAAGCAACATTGCTTTTCTGAGAAGGCAGAGTCAAAGTCCACTTGTGAACCGTGGCATTAGTTCAAAGAAAGATTTTAGCCACTGTCACAGTGACAGGAAGTTGTCCCCTCGTCCTTTTTTTACAGTATATGGATTTATGCATGAGTGTGTTTCTTTGTGTGTGTACTATATATGTGTGTGATTGAGCGCATGCCTTCAGTTCTCTCGGGGCTTCCTCTGCTTACTGTGGAAATAGAGTAAGGACCCATGGAGAGAGAGCCTTGTGGTCTGGACGGATCTGCTGGATTATGGGCGATCTCTGCTCGAACCAGGTCAGACAAATTGCACGGTGAGGGGGGGAGAGAAAGCAGCAGCAGCAGCAGCAGCAGGCAGTGACCTTTGGCACAGTAACTGTACAGTGAAATGCTCCGTGGATATGGAGGACGTGATAGAGGAATAAAGCTGTGGATTTACAGCTGCCAGCCAGCTGGACAGA